ACTTGGCGAATGGCTTCCAACTTGCAAACGAATCGAGGAAATGGCCTGACATGAAGACAAATTCCCTTTTTGTGTGTTGGCGGAAGAGTAGAGGTGAGCCTACATACATGTCCGTACTTTTTAGTGAGCACGTAAGGGGGGGGGGGGGGGGGGGGGGGGGGGGGGGGGGGGGGGGGAACCACATGCCAACCAATCATCCCAAATCCTTTGTCTGCAGCTTGGAGAAATGCAGGTGCTTTTGTTAACCTTTTGTCCTAATAAAGAGACAAATTGAGTGTTTTCGCCACAGTAACTGAAATGTTGCCCTTGCGTACCTAAACACAATTCTTCTGTTTTGCTTGTTTTGTTTGTTTGTGTTTGGTTTGTTTGTTTCCAGCTCCCTCATCTCCGAGACCCGGAAAAACTTCCAGTACGACTTCCTCTCTCCACTTGACAAGAAACTCGCAAACCTACCTGTGCTTCTGGTTTAAGAAAACCGGAAAAAACCAGTTAATCATGGAACTCCTTGTCCAATGTTATGTACGTTACGAACCTTTGGAGGTGCCTGTTTTTCGCACTACCCGGACCATCTTGAAAGCGAAACATTCAAAACTGAAACTATTCCCACACCAAAACTAAACAGACACACAGAAGGAAGAGAAAAACACAACAGTCTTTCTAAAACTCGTTATGTACCTGCGATGACATCAGCGTCCATATTCGACTGTCCGACCCTTTTACAGGATTGCTCCGGCCACTGCCATGTTACCAGTCTCTCCACTTTACACTTAGTGGCTCTGCCTTTGCCTGTATTAATGACATCTATGTTAGAATGCATACAAGACACGTGTAATGCTACTAAAAATAGGATGGTGTGAATGTTACTAAAATACGACGATGTACTCACCTGACACTCGTGGGCAAGTGCCATTCTCCATCTGGAATTTGTCCATTGGCGCACGAGACATTTCAGAGGTAGGCAGAGAGGGCAGCAATCGCACACATAAAGCATCGCCACGTTCTTTGCAAGTCATGACAGAAATCTGCATGTTCGTCTTCTGATTCTTTTCTGTCGATGTCATCATCTTCTCTCAATCGTCTTCCTCGTCTCTGAATCGCTACCCGTATGCTGCTTTCCTCGTACTGTGGGGAGAGAGGAGAGAGAGGGAGAGGGAGAGAAGGAGGACGGGAGAGGGAGAAAGGAGGGAGAGGAGATGGGGTGAGGGCTTGAGAAAGTGACACAACCAAGGAGAAGAAAACACTCGACAACTGAGACGTCGCGTCTTCTCTGTCTCCAAGATGAAGGGAGCTGTTCTCATGAGTCAACTCCGAGTTTCTCAGTTTCTCTCCCTCAGAACTCTCACCCACTGCTGCTGAGGATAACGGGCACACAAAAAGTTCGGGCTGTATCATTAGTAGACTGACATTTAGACTAACAAACCACATGAGTACGGCCAATATCACAGCAACAGGAGGTCGTGAAAACAAGGATGTGAGACGAGACATTGTACACGAGATGAGAGCTTATAACACTTTTCTGAAAACCGGCAGTTAGACTTGTTGCCCCCCTTAATTTGGCGACCCACAGTATGGGAGTCATAGGTACAAAACCTCTACCAAGACTCTCGGCAAAGAACATGGGACTTCAGAGGCACCAGTTCTTGCCAATCACTTATATCGTCATCAGGAGTACGGTCGTATTGGTACTTTCAGACTGCCTCCTAACTTCCGACAGCTGTTCACTCTACTCCACGCCGTCCACCGTGCCATTACGGCCCGCCTCTCCCAATCGCTCGTGACGATCCCACTCCGTTCCACGGGTGGTGCGGTCCTTCGCCGAATGGTTCCGGTGCTAGCGGCGAGTCGACACCCTCCATGTCCTCTCGGCACCCATGGAGTAGACGTTTGTGGCGAGATTTTCGCTGCTCGCTCTGCGGTCTCTGCCACCCCCGCCATCTCGTCATCGTCTGGCTCTGCCCCCACCCAGCGCCCCCCAACGCGTTCAACTCGTGATCTCCGTCGCCGTTACCTGTAAACAACAAACACGTCTGTTACTCCGTTTCACGTATTCCGCGTAAGAAAAGGGGCCATGAGTCGACTGACAACCGGCCAAACAGGGAAGCATGATTTTTGAAGGCTGCTACCGACTAATCAACAACCTTAGAGGTAAAAGATGTTTTGATGACATGTTGACAAGCAAAAGGCAAATTGCATCAATACCATTATGCGCGTACATCAATGAACACACCGCCAGGACAGCCCTTGAAAAACAGCATGAAGAAGATAGTGGACCATGTGAGGCATGTTCGTAGCTACTGTCTTTTCTAGTGCTGGATCGCATTCCATTTCTGGTTGACTGATGACGTTGATTTTCCGCTGTGTGTCCGCGGACTACTGCATCCACGGTACGGGCGCATGCGATATGGAAGGACAGAGAGCTGGCCGAAAGGGCGTCATCAGGGCAGCATCGACCAGCGATGTCTCGCTCTCCTAAAATTTCAACCGCCATTGACTCAATGAGGAGGACGGCGTGTGACGAACCAGGAGGTCGAAGAGTATTAGAACGAGTTATTTTCAGGCAGATTTAGTTTGAGAAGAAGAAATCAATAAAAAATGATAACATCAGATTTGGCCTTGAACTCGGTTTTGTAGCATTTCTTATCCTCTCCTCCTCTATTTCTTTCGTTCCCTTCATTTTATTTTGGTAACGTCGTCCAGTATTGGGGGCGGGGTGTACGTCCGATAGTGTCCTCCAGAGTCACCCTCTCCGCTCTCATTATCCCCCGCGTCCCCCTCCCCGTCGCTGTCCTGCTAGAATTTCAGGACAGTCATAACATTCAGGACAACGATACCGATATCAGGACAAGAATAGCAGTTTCAAAAGGAAAAGGTGTTCTTGAATCGCTAGGGATTAGACATTACATCATCGTATAAATTTCACCACAACAATAGTGACTGGCAGCAATAGCCATTTCAAGACAACAAGAGCGTTTCAGGAAAACAGAATAAATAGATGTGTTCTTGAGTAACCTACATATCTCCCTTAATGGTTTAAAACAACGTTACAATATCATTTCAGGACAAGGAAAGATTTTCTTGCTATTATTATAATAACCTGTGGAGATCTTTTCGTGTCAATTATCAGGTCACCATCATCTGAGAGACGATGGAAAACACGCAAGAGTGAAAAGTGATATATCATAGTCTTCTTATGAACAAGTCCCGCACAGAATGTCATCGACAGTGTCCCAGATTGTGAGTGTGCCTGACTGTGTGGAAGGCAGAACCCGTGTCCACGCGGATCCTAGCGTAGGGTTGCGCTGTGGTGATGCTGAGCACCCTTCCTCCTGCCTATATAGGAGGCCCTGTTTCCTGCTCATACTTTCAGTGCTGGAAACTTCGGAACTGTAAAAACAAAAATACGGAGGTGGGCGGAGCTGAATACAGAGTATGCGAAGTTGAGGAGAAGCGAACGTAAATGAAGGCGTGTAATAGTGCATAGCAATGATCCCGGATCGCACCCCGCCGCGATGCGAGACTCGGCCTAAAATACCACGACAGCGCGCGTGAAGTCAATCCCCTGTCCGACCTCCGCTCGCCAACACACAGCCAGCCGCGCGCCGCGGTAGGACGGATCGCGCTTTCCGACGCCTCGATTCCTCCCCGGGCGACTGCGGCGAGCGAAACGGGCGAAGCGAAAGAAATTTCCTCCCACGGCCAAGTATCCGCCATGTTTCGCTTCCCTACGGGTGGCGCCTCGAGTGCGGTCCGAGTCGCAGTGTGCAAGTCGACACGCGGTTTCCGCGGAACTTGTCCACGTTTCTCTATCGTACCACTCGCGAGAACCTTCAACGGCTTCTTGGACGACGGTTTGCGCTATTTATCGCGCACTCCGGCTGTGGAAGTAAATGGCGGTAGTTTTCACACACCTAGAAGGCCTCCTCTTCCACGTCCATGATGTATTGAACAAAACCAGGTGCATTCCTTACTTGTAATGCCTTTGATCAAACTGACCAATCAGGAGAGAGGACTGGGTCACATGACTTTCCTCCACCCCCTCCCCTGGCTGGTTACATTATTAGCATCAATCACTGACCACAAATATGAATATTTACAAGTTGTAATTGTTGTAGCACTGTTTGTGCGTTGCCTAGCGACAAAATTGACAGGTACCCCCTTTCGGACGAGGGACACCCAAAGGTATCCTCAAAACTCATTTCAACCATCACCCTTCATTTCTCCCCCAAACCCACCATTTGTGTGCATATATTACATAAAAGAAGAAAGTGGTTCTATTTATAGAACGCCCTCGTAGCAATACAAGTGACATAATTTTACGAGGAAGCCACCCATGTCCGATGCTAGCTCCTGGTTGTATATGCGGAGTGGTGCCACCGACTAACGAGTCACCCTCCCAGTGCCAAATTATGCTCAAACTGAGAAAAACGCGGAGTGCACCGGTTTTTTGTTGAAGTTGAGCGGTTACATCATAAGACTCATCAGAGAGTAGGTGGAAATACATTGATACATGGACCAACAAAACGTGTATGCAAAAGTACACATGATGAATCAAAATTCCTAGTTTTGAGAGTCACTTACGGCAAAAAGATCTACTCGGAGGCAACAGGTGTGACTAGTTGTTGGAACCGGTCGAGGACGCAGGGCAGAACAGGATACCCGCTCCTCGTGTCGCAACCATCGTAGTGTACTGAAGAGTAGTGGGAGTTAGGGAAACGGAGAGATGAAAAAATGAGCTGAATGGAAAATGGAGAGCACACACGTTGTGGGCGTATCAGCAGACTTTAGAGAACATGAGAGAGGCGAGAGGGGAGGACCAAAGACAGAAAATGAGAGACCGAGGGAGGAGAAAAGACAGGCAGGACAGACAGGCAGGCGGGCAGCAGGCAGGCAGGAGGCAGGCAGGCAGGCAGGCAGGCAGGCAGGACAGACAGGCGACAGACAGGCAGGCAGACAGACAGTGCAGGCAGACAGACAGGTTGAGAGGACAGTAAGTAAAGACGATACACGCGAGGTGGAAGGAAATGACCGCATGAAGTAGAGGAAGGCAAGAACCAGGAAGAGAAACAGGCATGGTGGTAGGAAGATGGACAGAACAGTCGGTGGCCTCTGTGTCCAGCGACATGCATTCTTCTTCCACGATATCTGCGTGCACGCAACAAGAACGAGAGAAATGAGATGTATGAAGTCAGCATGCTCACATGCATCTGTGTGTGTGTGTGTGTGTGTGTGTGTGTGATGGTGTGTGTGGTGTGTAGCTGTGCTGGTGTGGTGTGTGTGTGTGTGTGCACGTCACCCACCTACTCGTCTTTCTCAGCCTTGTTAAGTTCGTTACCAGAAGCGGCGACTATATCCCCGAGAACTTCATGCGAAACTGCCCCCTCTGCGACGTAGAGAGAGATCCTTCGACGACGGAAATAAAAATAAACCGCGGACTACCACGTAAATTTAGGGAATTCTCTCACCTGTGACCTTGAGACTGATCTTGCTCTGCGATACGCTTCGGAAGAGTGAGATAGGTGATACCAGCGTCATCGATCAGGAAGAGCGGAGAGACCACGTACCATGTCACACCACATCACCCGCCAGTAGTACAACCCTGCCATAAGTCGTGCGCAGCAATAACTCAAAATTTTTCCCCGTTACTCGCAACAGGCTTTCCCCATTCTTCTTTCTCTCTCTTTCTCTATCTCCCCGTGCCCCCTGGATACAGTTCAGCGAGACACAAGGCAGCGCAGGCTGATGTGTGAATGAGTGTGTGTGAAAGGTGAAACGATAATCGTGCGTCGTAGCAACAAGGCCGAGTAGTCGTTCGGGCACGTGACGGCCTGCTCTCTAGAAGCAATCGCTCCTCTTCTGCTTGCTTCGTCTTGGGAGGCATCTCTCTCTTCCCGATCGCTCGAGTTCGGCTGTCTCTGCTGACAACTTATCGTGTGTACTGTGTCTTGCTGCTCAACCCCAGGAAAAACAACGTGGCTGGTCCACGTGACAAATGAGTGCTTTTCTCAGATGATTAATTCATCAGTACATACTTACAAACAACACACACACAGCAGAGTTGGTTGATGACGCAGTCATCGCGCGCACGTGAGGTCACGTGACTCCAGTTGAGGGTAGTTAGGAGTGCTTCTTCCATAGCGTGTAGTAACCTTTGAATCCATTGAAAGCTGAGCTTTCATCCTGGGGCGACTGCCGCAATAGTGACATCATACAACGAAACTCAACAACATCATTTCCCCAAACGCACCTTGAACACGGCCGTCTCAGCCACTTTGCCAAAATCCTCAAAATGCTTTTATCAGGTTCCAACCTACTGTGTCTCATCTCCTATGGACAACGAACCGGCACTGTTTCAAATTAAAAAATTTGATTTCTGACCAGATACTCAAATTGAAATCCGACAGGAACCTACCTTCATCCGACAGTGCAGTGAGGCATTCGTAGTCCAGTCTTCCAGCTGCAATCTTCAGTAGCACCCCACTGTGGGGTGTCTGAGAGTCACACTCTTCTGCGATATAAATTAACATTTCGTGGTGAATTTGTAATAAACAACTTATGTTGACCATGTTTATGTGATTCCTGATTCCTAACACACACTAAAATTTTTTATCGGGTTCATTTGCAGTTTGCGTTAAAAATCATGTGTGAAATAGTTTCTACAGCAAAACGATTTCATCTACCCTTCATCTGGGTTAGAGAGTAGAGGATGGCTATCATGCTGGGTCCTGCAGACGAGAGAGCCAAAAAGCAAACGGTTAACCGCTGAACGGAGGAGAATACCAGCCTCCTCGCCAAACCTCCGCAACTGTTTGGAAAACGAGTCAAACGAGGTATTGTTGAATACTAATAATAAAGCCTACCTCGACAGCTCCCGTTGCCAAGTCTCAGTTGCAGGTGAATGGCAGACTCCAAACATTTCGCATCGGGAACAACAGCCACTCCCCTATTGTTATTGCCACACCTCTAATACAAGCTCCGCCCCACACACCCTTGACCATACCCAACCATCAACCAGCAATCTTTGATAATGTGGTCCAGTGTCTTTTGTCAGGCTTCAATCCTCATCACTCATCACCGACAGCACTCTCCTCCCTCTGCACTCTCGCCACTCCCTCGGCCACACCGCCCTGATCACACCACCTCAATCCACCCTCCAGTACATATGCATGTCACAGAGGACCTCACTAACAAAAAGCCGACTAGAGATGTACTCGCAACGTTTGAAACCCACTTCAAACGTCGATCGCATAGTTCGTGTGTATTGCAGTTCCTGAGTGATCCTAGGATAGTAGTGTCGCGCGATTCAAGACGTGCCGTTGTGAGCGACATTCACGTACGGATTCCGAATTTTCAGAAGATTGTTGTCGAAACTAAGGAGAGAACCTGATCGTTCTCGTTTTCGAGAGTCATACGGGAGGAGGATTGCCGCGTCTCCCTCTCCTTAATCTCCTCCGGGATTCCTGCAACTCTAAGGCACCTCAGGAGAGCGTGATAGCACACCAGGTCGGGTGTTACTCCCAATGCTGTCATCTCTCTCCAAACGTGTTCCACCCTTTCCATCCCTCGCGTCTGATCCTGCGAGCAAGCGGTGAGGAGGACCGTAAACGTGTTAACGTCGGGGGCCTCCCTTCGTCTCGACATGTCGCCGTACGCTCCAAACACCTCGTCCGTCATTCCGCAGGTCGTCATGGCAACCATTAGAGAGTTGGTCGCTATGGTGTTGAGGAGGAAGTCCCTGCGATCTACCTCGGATACAACCTTTTCGAGGAGGGGTCGCGAGGACGGACCCATCTCTGTGAAAGCTCTGAAGAGACTCGCGTAAGTGTGGTTTGATGGAGGGAGATCTCTCTTCTTTAGCTGAAAAACAAAGAAACAGTAACACATAATTATGTAGCAAGAATTATATTTTGCATTATCATGTACAGTGCAATCCCTGCTTTAGGACACCTTGAAATGAGGACACCTCTCTAAGGACACGCCTGAAATGAGGGCACCTCTCTAAGGACACCCCTGAAATGAGGGCACCTCTCTAAGGACACCCCTGAAATGAGCAACTCTCTAAGGACACCCCTGAAATGAGCAACTCTCTAAGGAGGACACCTTTCCTTTCTCCAAGAACACTCACACAAGGACACCTCACTAATACAGACATTTTCTTCTTTCCTGGATTTTGCTGTCGGCAAGTGCTATCCAGATAAAATGAGGTAAAGCTGTAACCCACGTCGTTGAAGTATTTGAAGGCTCTGTGGGCGTGTCCAGACCGGCTCAGTCCAGAGATGAGATTGTTGAAGACGACAGTTGACGGTCGGACCTTTGCCAACAACATGTCCTGGAAGACCTCCTCCGCCTCCTCCACCTATATAGCCACAGAAAACACTTACTTTACTAATGTTCTCACATTATGTACTGAGTGTAGTGCTGTTGAGCTTCTAAGAAAAATACAAAATGTTACTAAGGTATTTTTTTTTTATATAGCCGAGGTACAAGTTACTGCTCAATGCATAGTTTGGTGCACTTGATGAATATCGCCAGCCAAAGTATCAAGGTGAATACTCTACTGGCTACGTACTAAGGCAGTCACGATAATGCTACGTTGTCATTTTCACCTTTCCCTTTCGAACGAGGTTTGTAATGTGACGAGTGAATCTCTTCTGTTTTGCCTTCCAGGGATCAACTCTCCTTCCCTCCCTCCCCACCCCCATCACGTGACCCTTCCTTTTCGGCATCTCGTCCGGTGTTTCATACGCTTCCCCAGGTTTGGCGGAATGGAATCGAGGCAGAACGAAACTCCAACGGTAGGTATAAATTCCGCGATGTAGGTGTACCACGGATCGTACTTGCACAAGAGCACTGCAGGCTCGAAACGCTAACATCTTGCGTTTGCTGGTTGATTCCAAATAGAGCGCACTCTAGTACACGTGGGTCACGTGATAGCGTTGTGCTGACTCAGCAGACGCATGCAACGGTTGACGGTGTCAAGGCTCTCTTTCTTATCTGCTGCAGGACCACGTAATGTCGCGGTCAGGGAAGAAGAAAGGAGGTCCCGGGTTAGGTCGAGCCATTCTGAAGGAGCGAAATAGAGGGAGGCGCTCCCAAAACGGCGGCAGCTGGGTAAAAAGCCCTCTCAACCCAAGCACATGTATGTACTACATATAGTTGTCTTTCTGCATCGACAGTTGCACACGAGCGAACTGGACGACGGGCTGGACTGGAACAAATTGAACCTGCGCTCGGTGACCGAAGAGAGCCAGTTGGACGAATTTCTCCGGACAGCCGAGCTGGCTGGCACCGAATTTACTGCTGGTGAGCCAGTTAGTAATCCCTGCACCAATGGGACAGAAGAATTAGTGAGATGTCCTTATTTCAGGGGTTAAATGCATTCAAGAACTGTTCTTGGGGAAGGAAAGGTTTCCGTATTAGAAAAGTGTCCTCATTTCAGGGGTCTCCTTAGAGAGGGGTCCTCATTTCAGGGGTCTCCTTAGAGAGGGTTCCACTGTATACACTTTAACCTTCACTCCTTCTCTTCTTCTTCTCTTCTTTTCTCCAGAAAGGCTAAATGTGAAGGTAGTTGATCCCTCTCGGCCACGGGGCGGTCTACCTTCAGTCGAAGAAGAGAGAGAAATAGAGAAAACCCACAGCAGGTTTCGTCAGTTCATTGGCATCCCAAGAAGGTAGGTACACGTCTATAGGCACTGGAATATGAATATGTACAGAAAAGGCTTATCATTGAAGCAATAATACTTCTAATCTATGTAAGCAGATCTTAATGTTAACATTTCATTTTCAAAATAATCTACACTTGACGTATGTACATAATTATGCTTGGCTAAATTTGCAAGACCCGTTAAGACAGCACAAGACTGAGTGAAACTATATGGAGACCGGCCTTGGTGTATTTCTCCTCCATCCCTCCCTCCCTCCCTCCCTCTCTCTCCATCCCTCCCTCCCTCCCTCTCTCTCCATCCCTCCCTCTCTCCCTCCCTCTCCATCCCTCCCTCCCTCCCTCTCTCTCCCTCCCTCAGACCAGTGTGGGCTCCGTCCACTACTCCCGAGCAGCTGGATCTCTCAGAGAGGGACAGCTACCTGGCCTGGAGGAGGAACCTGGCCAGACTGGAGGAGGACGAGGGGCTCATCTTCACTCCCTTTGAGAAGAACCTTCAGTTCTGGAGACAGCTCTGGAGAGTCATTGAGAGAAGGTATATATGTATCTACATACAGCTTGAGTCTTGTTAACCCTCGAGGGCTCAATGGCAGTTACAGTACTTCGTCTGTCTGTCTATCTGCTTATACTGCTTGGTGACTTCAGAAATTAAGGTTGAACAAGTAAGAATTTCGTTTCTCTCTCCCTCTCTTCTTCAGTGATGTCATCGTTCAGATTGTGGACGCCAGAAATCCTCTTCTCTTTCACTGCGAAGATTTGGTGAGCTTCCATACAATTTTTACGTGTTAAAATCTGAAGAAAGTTCTTACAAGTTTTAGCTAAGTTGTTGTTGTTGTTGTTGTTGTTTAGGAGAAGTATGTTAAAGAAGTTAGTGCCGAGAAAGTGAATCTACTGCTGCTTAGCAAGGCTGACCTATTGTCACGGCAACAGAGGTGGGTGTGGCTTGGCTAATTGACAATGCCTCGCTCCTTATTCTCTGTGTTGTGTGTGTCAGGTTGTCATGGTCACAGTATTTCTCAGAGAGAGGAGTGGCAGCTGCTTTCTGGTCAGCCCAACTTGCAGAACAAGAAACAACAACAACAACAACAACAACAACAGAAATGTCGTCAACAGATGTGGATGATAGTATGGGTGGTGAGCCCCTCTCGTCAGGTGCTGAAAGATGAAAGTGCGGGGACTAGCCCGAGTCCGGAGATCCTGTCCAGAGAGAGGCTGTTGCAGCTGTTCCGGGACCTCTCCCCTGTTCCTGGTGAGAGAAGAGAAACTACCGTATGTATCAACTCACACACACACACACTCTCTCTCCTCTCTCTCTCTCTCTCTCTCTCTCTCTCTCTCTCTCTCTCTCCTCCCTTGCAGAAGGAGGACTGACGACAGTGGGTCTGGTTGGCTATCCAAATGTCGGAAAAAGTAGCACCATTAACGTTCTCTACGAAGAGAAAAAGGTATAATTATTGTAATCTTAAAGCGGTGCATAAATTGTGGGTTCATGCATGGAAAAAAGTTTCCTAATGGACGTGCGCCGCCAACCACCTCTGAACAATTAAGTTTCAGAAACAGTGACTTGTATCACCATTATTATTATACCTCACTCCCCACCCCTCCCCTCCCCTCCCCACCCCTCCCAAGGTCCCCGTGTCGGCAACGCCGGGTCGGACAAAGCATTTCCAGACTCTCCTCATCTCCGAGCTGCTGCAGCTCTGCGATTGCCCCGGCCTCGTCTTTCCCTCCCTTGTCTCCACGAAGGCCGAGATGGTCGTCTCGGGAATCCTCCCCATAGACCAGATGAGAGACCACACCCCTCCCGTTTCCCTGGTAACACCGCAGGGGTTAAGTATGTAGCATGCAAGAACTGTTCATGGGGAAAGAAAAGGTGTCCTTATTAGAGAGGTGTCCTCATTTCAGGGGTGTCCTTAGAGAGGTGCCCTCATTTCAGGGGTGTCCTTAGAGAGGTGTCCTCATTTCAGGAGTGTCCTTAGAGAGGTGTCCTCATTTCAGGGGTGAGGTGCCCTCATTTCAGGGGTGTCCTTAGAGAGGTGTTCCACTGTATATATACTAAGGACAGGAAAAAGAATTAAACTGAGTCACTGTTGTGTATATAGGTGTGTCACAGAATCCCTCGTTACGTACTGGAACGGGTGTATGGGATCAGGCTCCCACAGCCCTCCGAAGGGGAAGACCCTTCTCGTTATCCGACAGCCCTGGAGCTTCTCTCGGCCTACGGATGTGGGTGTGGTCTCATTGTTATCACTCTCATCTTATCGGTGTTGTTTGTTTATCAGATCTCCATGGTTACATGACGTCGCACGGTCAACCCGACTGTCCTCGCAGTGCCAGATACATACTCAAAGACTACGTTAAGGTGAGATTCGGGCGGAGAAAGGGTGGGCCTCGTTATTGCTCTTGAGCGGTATATACGTATTGAACTTTGCACTGTATTCATGTCTTGTATCCTGTTTGCTATCCAGGTCTTCTTGCGTTGAATGTCCACATGAATTGGCTTAGAGAGTGCAAAATGCCTACATATAAGTTAGATGCCGAGTCCAGGAAACTACGCGCATTAGAGAGCCGCGGGGGCCCCGGACTGTCGGCGTTCGAGCGCAGCGAGGACGCTACTAAGGGCCCCCAAGGCGCTCTAATGCGCGTAGTTTCCATGGACGAGGCGTCTAACTTGTTTAGAGCTATGGCAACGCGTGCGCGCAATTCAAATTCGGTGCATGTGAAACCGCGAACGAGCGCTGCTTTCTCGCTGGGAAGTCGAGCGAGAGGCCCAGGGAGGACGTCGACAACGGGCTCGCCTCTCCGTACTTTCGCAGACCGCCGTTGGGGGACTCCGCCCAACGTAAGTGAGCCATTGCGCATGCGCCAAATTTAGAGTCCGAAGAAAGTTTATTTAGAGTCCGGAAAATTTGCTCTACTCGAATTAGAGTCCGCGCATGGACCAATCAGATTGCGCGATTTAAATTACCCAGCTCTAATACTACATTAGACTACCTATGTACTTTACTCTGCACCATAATCCATATTCTCTCTCCCCCCTCTCTTCTCAGGGAAAACTGCTTTATTGTCACACTCCCCCTGGCGTCACCCCGGAGACTTTTAACTCCATTCCCACTGAAGCAAGAGCACCAGCGGCAGAGGGAGTGGGGGAGGGCGGTAGTGAGAGAGGGGTTAATTCACCATCCATAGACAAAGACAAAGGAGAAGGAAAAAGTGGCGGAGTTACTCTGAGCGAATTTGACAAGCAGTTTATGGAACAGGTGAAAACCGTAAGTAAAACGGTATAAACAATAATATATTCAATGCAGGAAGAGGTGAGAGCCATCACTAAGGGTTGCCATGGAGTCAGAGGCTTCATTAGGAAATCCGGTGCCAATCATCGCCTTTCATTAGGACAGGGGCAAGGGGGAGAGGGGGAGGAGGAGGAAGGAGAGGGAACGTCTGATGCAGCTAGTGTTACTAGTTCCATGGTGGGTGTGGGGAAACCATGGAAACGGCATAACAACCGAAACAAGAAGGAAAAGACACGTCGCACTGTCCACATCAGTTGATCTGTTACTAGTTCCATGGTGGGTGTGGGGAAACCATGGAAACGGCATAACAACCGAAACAAGAAGGAAAAGACGCGTCGTACTGTCCACATCAGTTGATCTGTTTCGTTTTCATGTACAGTAGAAATAAAGATTTTGATTGCTGATTATGATACACCTGTATTTACAATTTGTGTTTCTATGGTGATGGAGGTGCAAGGTTACTTCCACAGAGCTCTTAGGGACTTCCTCTTGGCGAAGTAGGAGAGGCCCATCGTCCCGACGACCAGCGCCATGACGACGGCTGATATGAGAGGGTAGTCGAAATCTTCGGCCAGTAAATCAAATTGTTTGGATGGAGTTACTCGAGTGAAGAATAGATCTGAAGAGAGAGACGGAGAACAAGACTGAAACTTGTTTCATCAAAGCCAACATTTTGACTGGGGTTTTGAGATAGGCTCTGAGGAAAGAAGTTTTTTGCTCACACACTTTGTCAGAGCACATCACATTAATTTTACAACACCAAAACGGTGCACAGAGGTTGACACATTACATGGAGACTGATTTACATTGATGCAAAACTGACCTAGTCCCGATGCCAACACCAGACAGGTCGACTCCAGTCCAGTGGTTGCCACGGTGACCCTCCTCAATCTGCTGACAGTGCGATTGTAATTGACGAACATCACCGGTCGAGGGATGAGAGCTGGCTCGTACTTTGGCAGTCCGTCCTCCCTGAGATGGGTGTGGTTTTTTCAAGTGGTTTCAGTATTCACGTTTTTTTTTCTTAATCAAGGGGGCAGCCCCCTTGAAAATAGGTTTACCCTTTGAATGGGGCCGTAATCAATCAATCAGCCATGCCCCCTCAATTTTAATCACCTCATGTCATCTGTAGGTATCAGTTGGCGTCTCGGGTCCATAATCCGCTTCGGAAGAGACACAATGTGCCCGGAATGGAGACCCACTGGAATGGAACCGAGACGTAAACCCCAGATATGAATATTGTTATACTCACCAATGAGGCTCTTGTGGGTGAGACCCCGCTTCGTTTGCGTGGTTGCCATGGCAGCGATTGAAGAGGGAAAGACGTAGGCTTGAGACGTGACGAGGGGGAGGGAGGGAGGAGAGAGAGAGGACCAGTCCGAACTAGAGAAATACATGGAGTCAGTCCATTTTCAGCAATACTCTTATTCAACAAACGCTTAGTTATTAAGAATTGCTAAATTTAGTCCTTATATGCTGCTATTTATAGAGAAGACTCACTGGGAGTGGTTTGAGGGTTGGTCGTAGAGTTCAGTGACCACGAGTTCATAACGTCGCAGTTTGGTATTGTAGTAGTGGTACTGAGTAAGAGAGAGAGAGGGGAGAGAAGGGAGGAGAGGGGAGAGGAGAGAGGGGAGAAAGTCAGTAATGTACAAGTTTGAAGGTGTTTCAAATTTGATATTGAAAACTTCATGCAAAATGTGAGCACTAAGCAATATTTAATTCTTTACAGATGGAGAAGTAATTATTAATTGTTGTATCTTTTTGTGAAATTGAAAAAGGTTTTCTTCTTAAAAGTTCCTGGTTGTGCAACGTTACGCAAAGACCATGAGTGTGAAAAACTCACGACAATCCAGTTCTCGGAGAGTTCAAGGTTCACCGGACCTGCCGCATTCCTGTGCGTTGTGTGGTGGATGGTTGCCCCGGTAACACCATCCACCAGATAAACACCGAAGAACGCTACAACAAACAACAAATAATAGTTGTTGACAATGAATAATCAAGACTACGTACATACATACATGTATGCATGTAGGACACAATGACTATGTCATACTGATCAGGACACCTCTACTATCAGGACAACTTACAACGCTGTCCTGATAGGAGACATACTACTGGAACTCACGTTTATCTCCAGCTGCATCGTCATGGCCACTGGTGACGACGACAAACAGATGAGGATTGAGGTATTTGTACTGAACGCTCCGATCAGCTCTCACTCGTCCCGGTGAACCAACACGCTCTACATAACAAGGTGGGCGTGGCTTTTAATGCGAACTTTAGACCCTCCAACAACAAAAAAAACTGTGCAGCTTATTAAATAAAACTAAGAGGGCTCGAGTTAGGAAATTGACTTCTAAAACTAAGTTTCTCTGCTGGAGCTGAGAGGTGTGGCTTAGGAAACGGACTCTGAACCCAATAACAAAGGGGTGTGGCTTACAAAGGTGCGCACCGATTTTCGGTCTGGTAGAAAAAAATTCGACGATTTCAAATTCTGGAGGGTAGAAAATTTGCCATGACTCCCTCGTCCCTAGCTGCATAGATAGGAAGGAAAGAGAGGGAGGGAAAGTGTGTGTGAACCAATTGTAATGTTGCGAAAAAGCAGCAAGCAGACCGTGTCGTCTCCGTTCCGTTCCAACTGATACCCGGTGATCAGTCCCGATTCCACGTCACCGGCAAAGAGGAAGACCTGCTGCGAGGTTGCCACCGCGCCAGCGTGTCGGACTGCTTCAGATGAGGCCGGGAAAGTGTGCACCTAGGAAAACAGTGTATGTAAACACTACTATGATGTAATGATGACGTAATGGTAATATTGATATAGGACACTCAGATTAATAAGGGACACCTCTGAATAAAGCACACCGGCTCTGACAATTAGTATGATGTAATGATGACATAATGGTAAAATTAATACCTTTGAAAAGAGAATCCCTCACTTAAACAAGGACACTTACAATTTGTCCCTTGTTCCACTGTACCTACCTTCATGTCTTTAGTAATGTAGAGGAGCACATGGGAGTGGGTGTGGTCAAGGTGAGGCAGTACTATCAACTGTCTTACAGCTCCCAGACAAGTCATGTGATTGTCACCTGACGTCACATGATCTCCGTCCAAAGTCACATGATCACCAGTGATGGGGTTGAATGCAAACAGCACTAGTTGACCAGTGCAGTAAGTACCATCCTGTGCAAAAGACAGAGAATATTTTCATGCTTGACAAATTTTCTCACTATAGTTCAGAGTAGCATTGGGGTTACCGTGGAGATGCCGATGATGACGGAGAGAGGGGGGAGGGGAGGGTGGGAGGTGGTGCGGAGGAGATGGAGCGCGAGGGATCCGTCGCCGAGGGGGGCAATATTTGGAATAAACCTCTGCCAGACGATGTCACCACTGTTGCTATCCAGACCATACAACTGTTGAACAGAAAAATCTTCGATCAAAAACATTCACCAAAATATCTGATTATGGTACCTTTCCAGTTGCCGTAGCAACGACGAGAAGCTTCCTAATGTTGAACTGGTCTCGTACTACGAGGTCGTCTTCAGAGAGAAGCAGATTGGGTAGACCCCTGTTCTGAAGATCTTTAACGAACTCCTTAGTGTCAAAATATAGGACACGGTATTTTTGAGAGGGCAAAATGTTTGATGCTTACTTTTGCCAGGGAAAATTGGAGTCTTAGTCTCATGAGTGCCAATTTCAGGGGATTTCCCTCGTTCATGGTCGACGTAATAAAATTAGCGATGGAACCTGATTGGTCAGCTGGTGGGAGGTCAACTGCTTCAATGGCAACCGCTGACCCCAACCCATCTTCCCTCACCCACGCAACCTCACCTAATGTGAGATGATCACATACCAATCATTCCCGATATGATGTAATGATGACGTAATGTCAAATACCAGGTGAGTGAAGCATAACGAGGGAAGAATCTTCCATAAGTAGCACCAACTGGAAAGATTCTGGTTTCTTCTTAGATGCAGTCAAACAGACATCTCCCTACAACGTTGAGGTTTTGCAACAGTGATCCTAATTTCGTGTGCAACGCAAAAATGACGTGTTACAATTCTCGCGCCTTTCTCACTACGAGGTAGCACGGCAAAGGCAAAGCAAACAAGTCAACTACACCCAGGACAACTCTCTTTCTTCTGCCCTGGGTGGGATTCAACCCACGACACTCTGCTGTTCTAGCCGACTGCTCTACTAACTGTCCTGGTGTGAATGAAAACTACGAGGTAGAAAGGCAAAGGCAAAGCAAACAAGTCAACTACACCCAGGACAACTCTCTTTCTTCTGCCCTGGGTGGGATTCAACCCACGACACTCTGCTGTTCTAGCCGACTGCTCTACTAACTGTCCTGGTGTGAATGAAAACTACGAGGTAGAAAGGCAAAGGCAAAGCAAACAAGTCAACTACACCCAGGACAACTCTCTTCTGCCCTGGGTGGGATTCAACCCGCGACACTCTGCTGTTCTAGCCGACTGCTCTACTAACAGTCCTGATGTGAAAACTACGAGGTAGCACGGCAAAGACAAAGCAAACAAGTCAACTACACAAAGGACAGCTCTTTTATCCAAGCCACAGTTCAGCAGTAATATTTGCTGGTTTAGAGAGACCAGAGAGCGAACATTATCCCAAGAGCACACCCTTTGACCAAGGCCAAAAGAGAAAGAAGAACCATTTCTCACATAGATTAGCTGAACATGTTTACTTAACCCACCTGTACTGGTCTTCCTCTCTCGGGCAGTTTGACTCTGTCAGTGATGAGTTCATCTTCACCCTCACCCATCACCAGCCTCACAGAACTCCCCTCCTCCCACCTCACTCCCACCCTCATCCTCCCCCGCCCTTCCACACTCCTGTCGTACGACAGAACGTCGCTCGTCTCTGTCACCACAGCAACACGGTTGTCCTGGAGACCGAGGACCCAGTGGGTGTGGTCAGAGTGGAGCCAGAACTGATTTCCATCCTCGTCCAGTTGGAGTAATCTCACTCTACTCACCCCAAGACTCTAGCAATCAAAAAATCATTTTCACCCATAAAATCTGGAAATCTCAACAGAGCAATGAACATCTTTTGCACACCTACTATATATGCCATATATGAAATCGTTAGTTGCTCGCACCTAATAAACAACACTGAAGATTTTTTGTAGACAGAAAGTGTACTGAAAATGAACATGTCCTGAAAGTGTGTCCTAAACGGTGTTACCTGTAGGTCTGTTCTGAGGAACCGATCTCCAGATCCATGGTACAGGGTCTGGGTCACCAGGTCAAGACACACTGCCACGCCCACAACGATGACACAGCTGGTTCCCGTGGCAACCAACCAGGGGGCCGGAAGCTCCGCCTCCTTCTCGACCACGCCCGTCCCGGCAGCCAGCTGCGCGAGTGAAACCTGTTTCGTCTCGAGGGAGGCAGACAAGATGAAGAGAGAGGAGTCATCCGAGGATGGATGGAGCAAAGAAATCAGTGAGTCTGCAGCACGGGAATCACGGTCCAGTCTCGTCCTCCACAGTCGCTCCCCCGAACGACCTTTGAACCCCACCACCTCTGTTCCCATGGCAACCACCAAGATCTCTGGAACAAAACACACACCACTAAAGCTGTGCTATGTATATACATGTATACCCTACACCAAACATAGTTCTATGGTTTACCGCAGAATGCAACACATTATTGGCGTACAAATGCATGGGCAACATTACTGGTTTTATATGTAAAGCATACTGTACCACTATAGCTTGCTTAATTCAGATGACTTGCTTTGTGTATATACCCATAATACACCGGCCCTATTTATATTGTATAATGTACTGATATTGTGGGATACAATCTCACCAGCTGAGCCCCAACGACAGTAGTAAGAACAGCTCCAGGTTTCCAGTCTGATGTCAGGGAATACGACGCCAGTTCCTCCTCTCCCCGTCCGTCCAATCCGGTGAGGGACTCCCATCGTAACGACCCCGACGACACATCCCAGCTTCTTAGCAACCGTCCACCCCCGGAGACTATCACCAGACCCCACTTACTCCGGAGTACGGAGTCTATTACTCCACTTTCCTCGTTCTCATAGACATGTCTCCAAGCTATAAGACGTAGGCAATTAAAGATGCCTAGTGAGTATAGCTCTCGTACAGACGTACCTATTTCTCCTTTTTCTGCGTCACGGGCAGCGACAACGCCACTACGGGAGACTGCAAGCAGACGTTTGCAGCCTTGCGGAGTTGCTCCGTCCAGTGAGACGTAGTCTACGGCACCCAAAAACCGGCGGTGCCTGCAAAATGATACATACGTGTTATTCTAAAAGACGCACACCAACAGCGGCGTCCACCCATCCCTCGAGAGTATTTGCGACTCACCAGTCGACGCTTCCAGCGTGATCTTCGTACAGCGCAGAAACTGCAGCCACACAAAGCCAGAAAAACGCGAATCCTGTCATCACAGAGAGAGTGAAGAGCAAACAGAAGACAAACACGTGCGCGAAATCGAGCGCGGCGTGGGTGATTTTTCGATACGATATTCCTCTCTAATTTAACGAAATGGCCGAAGAAGCGGCGGCGGCGGGCGCTGCTGAGAAGGCTCGCGAGTTGCTAAAGAGCTACCTGGGGAAGCGGTTTCGTGTGGAGGTGAGCGACGGGAGGATCGTCGAGGGCTCCTTCGTCTGCACGGACAATGCACGCAACATAGTCCTCAGCAACTGTGAAGAATTCTACGGAAAACATGAACTAGGTCTGTCACGTGACTAACCACGTGATGTTTGTTTACGTGCACGTTGCCATGGATGCAGAGCAAGTAGAGGAGAGTGGTCGGGTCAGCAGTGGGTTGGACCAGAGTCGGCGGACCCTCGGAATGGCAATTGTGCCTGGGGGACACATTCTCAGTATTTCCATGGCAACAAACATGGCTGCCATGGCAACAGAGACTAGCTCCACAACAACAGAAACCAGTACAGGTTCATTGGGTGCAGTTGACTCAGCACAAGGCATCAACCTATTGTAAATTCCTTTTTTGTAAAATGGCCGCATTATTCAATTCTGGATCATGTACAACAGACACGAAATCAAAACTTGTGCACATGTATATAGTAACAAAAATTGAGATGTAAAAAACAAAACACTTATGTTGTCCAGCTTGAGCTAACTACACTGAGCATTTTCTCCTCGAGGGGGTGGAGCTTCCCAGCAATTACCATTGATTGCAGGGGCTCCCCCATGTCTGAGGTAATCATTGTCCTCAGAGGGGCGTGGCACACTGCCTGTTTGTCTGTACCAACTCTCGCTACGCCAATACACAGGGTAGCTTTAGAAAAATCTGGAAAAGAAAAATCAACTTGCATGGAAATTCAAACACATGGTAGGTGGGCATTAATTGGAAATGTGGCTGGGCACCAATTGGAATTGTGGGTGGGTATTAATTGGAAATGAGGGAGGGCCCCAATTGGAATTGTGGGTGGGAACTCCCCTTTAAGAGTGCAACTGCAGCAAACATTCGTCGATGTTTTAACTTTTTTTAATGACAACTTACTCACATTTGAGTGGGCGATTGTCTTTAGCTCTGTTGTCGAGTGCTCGCATCAGTTGGAGTGATGCCTGGCCTACTGTCATGTAGCGTGGAGGTTCAAACACCTTTCTACCTCTACATAAAAAATATTCCAGGAGAGGGAACATGGGATATTATTTGAAACGTTGCAAAGTTCGTATTTGCTACCAAAATTTTCTCTCTCGTAAACACCACATGGGTAGTGTTCCGATTAAATATATACCTCATCATATTTTCTATAGACTGTTCCTTTACTTTGATATCTGTGGAAGAAAATAACAGCCTGAAGTATAACTAACATGATTCAGACCTTTGTTTTCTACCGAGGAGGCAGAGTGTGTGTAGGCCACGCTCCAAGTTGGCTTCAATCTTGTCCAGAAACGAGTCTGGTTCCCATGTCTCAGACCAGAACGGAATGGAGACAGTCTCCCCAAAGTTGTAGAGTTGCAGACCACAGCACCCAACAGCCGTCAGTATCGACGCATTGTGAACCACCTTAGCACATAAAAATTTTGATGAAATGGTTAAAAATTCGGTGAGAGACCTGGTAAGGAATGGAGCGTTTGGCGGCTCTAAGTATGAGGTCAGTATGGGTCGTAGCACTGGAAAAAAGTTTAAATTTTTGCGTAGTTTGGTGATCGATCATTCCACCATCATCTTCTCAGTAGCTATACAGAAACTGAATGGAAATTGAAGCTGAGCTTTTATTCTGAAAAGACTGAGATTCTATTCTCCTTCCCCATGAGGCTGGTGTCTCCACCGCTATTTTTGGCATGGCAAACAAACACCAGGGCTCTTACTATAATTATGATACCTCAGTGGGTCTCCAACCACTAGAAAGGCTATGTCCTCTTCTGCTGCACCGTCCAGAAGAGCGTCTGACTTCTGCTCCACCATCTCCCTGTCTGCCAGAATCAACTCTCGGCCGTAGAACGCCTCCTGCATCCATGAGGTACATACATAGCTATATATACCAGTCAAACCCCTCTCTAATCCAGGGGCAGAAAAAGTGCCCATATTAGTGCTGTTAACAAATTGTATGCAAGAGCTGTTCTTTGGTATCTTTATTAAAGAGTTCAAGGGTATCCTTAGAGAGTGGGTTTAAACGTATTGCAGAGTAACCTGCAACGTGGAAAAAACGTAAGCTTACCAGCTCGTCTCGTCCGACGGTGAGAATGGAGGTGTAGGCCTCGAGGTAGACTCGACTGGCAGCTTTCACGATCTCCAGACCTCGCACCGTGATGTCCCTCGCGTCTCCTAGCCCCAGCCCCACCAGGTAAAGCATCGCTGGCTCCTTCACACGCCAACACGGTATACCGACGCAACACGTGGGTTGTGCGCATGCGCGCGATCTCCGAATCAGCTGTTAGTGCGTTTGCATGCATGCATGCCAGGACCGCGATGCGGTTGGCGGGCGAGAGATGTTCCCCGACTGGATGGACGGTAGAGTGGCGCTGCTACTATTGGCTCTCTTGATACTCAGTCCCGGTCACACTAAGGACCCCCACCACCACACGACGGATAGTGGTAAGTCACACGATTGAACCTGTAGCTATAGCTATGCTATGAACCTGTAGCTATAGCTGCAGTTTTGGGGGGCAAGAAACTCATTTCAGGGGTGTCCTAACTTAGAGAGTGGTTCCACTGTAGTCGAATGAAATCTCTGCACTTTAGATGGCACCGAGCTACCGCTACATTTCGATGTTCCGTTGCCTCAAGAGTGTGCAGTGTCAGGTACGGGAGCCCGGAGGTATAATCAGGGCCTCTGCTCCAGGAAATCTTGCAGAACTCCCGACGGTGTCTGCTCGCTGCCCTCTGAACAGTGCTGCTATGAGGTGGGGGAAACTGCAGCCGTCGACTTCACCTGCTCCAATTCCCGTTCCCCGGAGCGTGGTCACATGATAATCACATGCACGTGTCAACCCTGCGGTCAGTTGAAGGTGGAAGTATCGGGAGAGGTTGTATCGTCGCGGGGAAACGAACCTTTGGTCTTGGCGACCGTTGTCGCCGGGGGGGAGGTCGTGACCTTTACCAATCAACGAGGAACGTTTTTGTTTGAGACACTCACTCCCAACATCAACCCTGACCCTGACATTTCACGAGGCCAGACATCGAGATTTGGAGCGGAACTTAACCATCCACCCATCTCTCCAGCAAAGAATAAAGGTGGTCCTTGAGTACATTGAGATAATCGACAGGCGAGAAAAGATGGAGGCGGGGTTCGATACTCCACTAGTTTCAAGTGACGTCATTGAAAATTATGGTGTGAATGGTTTCCTACATTTTCCTCCAGGCGCTTTTATATCGTCGGAGACAGACGAAGCTTATCGCGGGTCGGGCAGCGTCCTTATCTCGCTCTATTTCACTGATAAGTGGCCGGCGTTTGCAACCGAAGCTCTCAGTAACTTGGTCTATGTCGACTCCAAAAGTGCCGAATTCTCCATTCAGTCGCTGGTGATAGGGACTTTGGACGTGGTGGGAGAGGGAGGGGAACACTTGGGGCTGGCAATAGGAGCACCTGTCGTTGTTACCGTATCTCTGAGGATGGAGTCTAGTGTAGCCCCGCCCAGGTCACCTCCCTGCATCTCTTCTCTTACTCTCGACTCCAGAAACGCTGGTTAGACCACGGGAGGGTGACCGTCGTTGGAGACACGTCGCGCGAGGAAGAAAAAGGGTCGTACTATTTGGTGACTCTTCAGGGCAAACTGAGGCAGATACATCGAGTCTGGGCAGTCGGGGTACCCCCTACGATTATCATGCTGGGTCAAAGTCCTCGTGTTCCAGGGCTCTGTTCTCCGAGATGAATTGACCAGCGTCGATATTCAGTTGAGACAGAGCGACGACGTGTTAGGTAAGGGTTCGTTTTACCGGCACTCCGCACCCACTCTGCCTGGAATTGGAGCGTGTTTGAAGAGCGTCTGCAGTCTTGGTCGGAGTTCTCAGTCCAAGCCGACCGTCTAGTGTGGAGTTGGAAGCAGTCACTCCGAGTATTAGTAACGGTATCATCATGGGTAGCAAGGACGAGATCATGATCTATACTGTCGACAAGCAGAACGTTGGGATTACGGGGAAACATCCGTTTTATCCGAGCGAAGAGGCTTGTAGGCAGCATTCGGGGGTACACTCTGGTCACTTCACGTTTGGAGTGAGCTCAAAACGGAGCCAGTACCAGACGCGACCGACCATCTTGCTCACAAAACCCTCTGACGGAAGAGAGAGAGAAGTAGATGGATACTGCTATCTGAAAGTGGCCGTTCTTGACTGTGCTCTGTACAGCGATGTGAAGGCAGTAAGCTACGGTCCCAGGGGACGAGATTACTTCGGTAGCCTTCGAAATTGCAACCGCGCTAGGAAACAAGGCCGCGACTGCACCACCCAACAAAGACCCGTGTACCGGCACAACTGGTGCCACACACTTGAAAGCGTCGTGTGTCGATTTCACGTGCGGGTCCAAAGTCCACGTCTCGGCTCAGAGCAGATTGGAACGGAGGCACACCAAACCGTGTCGTTACTGGAGTTCCACGGCAACCATTCCCTGGCGCGTCCCTCCTTCCCACAATCTCACGTCGTTTCACTTTACTGACGAGGGGACAGGATATGGCGAGGGGCACGGGATTTATTACGCAGTAACGAAGGAGCTAGCCCTAATGAAGTGCTATTCTGGATCACATGAAGAACCCAGTAACACAATGGACCCTTACAAAGGAGCTGCAGTCACGTTCACCTGTCTATAGCAATGATCAACACGATTCAATTTTCAGTTCTCAATATGGTATATATATCACTTGCAGAGTATATTAAAAAAAATGTGTATATATTGTGATGATGTTAGTGATGTTTGTAGAATGCTAAATAATACATGTGCAAATGGAGTTAAACGTAGTAAATTCTGACGACAGATGTGCTGACTAGTAAATCTCCGTCTAAGAATTTGGTCTCTATTGTCAGATTACCACTGTATGGATTCAGATGAAAGAAAGGAAATGAGAGGAGGAAATGAGAAAGAGAGAAATTGAGAGGAAAAGTGAAAGGGAAAAAGGAGAGAGGTTTATAGTAAGGAAGAAAGGCGAAAAAGCAGAGGGGAAAGTCAAAATGTGAATTGGCAGCTTTTACTTGGTTTCTTACGTGAGGATTTCGGCGGGCATCATTTGGGATTCATCCTCGGCCTCGATGACCGACTGCCAAGTGTTGGTGGAGCCAGGAATGACGAATCCAAACCTGAAATTCCACTCTGTGGAGAAACGGCATCACCTCAACATCCTTCCCAGTCACACTGGTTCAATTACATACAGTGGAACCCCTCTCTATAAAGACACCTCTGACAAGGAGGACACCTCTCTGTTAAGGACACCTTTCTCTACCCAAGAACAGTTCTTGCATTCAGGACACCTCACTAGTAATATGGACCACTTCATTGGTGTCCAGATTAGAGGGGTTCCACTCTATTATGCAAAATAGTGGTTAATGTTAAAGTTATATTTCTACAAGATGTGATCACAGATACAACACAAAAGCATATATAGAAACTCTGACCGGCTTATTATACTAGCTGCTCGTTCTACCTATTTACAAGGCTGTGGCCAACTGCCAAAGGTATCACTTGCAGCAACGCAGGTTCGCACACACAGGAGATGAAATATCATCAGCAATATCTAAGATATCAATGCCAAGTGTCTCTTTAGACAAAACCATATTATTTACATTGCTGTGGACACTTCTGGCTTTCTAATAATGCAGTAGACCATCACTTACTGGACTAAAGCTATTGGTTTATTCGGTTAATTAATTTGCAAAAGCACTTGCAATTATCTAAATATGTTCAGATAATAGAGAAGTTCAAAACATTACCTTCTACTGATTTTCCCTTGAACTGAACTCTCTGCTCCAACCGTAATTCGTTGAGCATCTCCGACGACGTAAAGTTGATTTCTCTCGACACAGCTTTACACTTGAGGATCTTCTTGGGCACTCGCGCTGTGTGCACGAACATTGTGTCGCAATCAATCAGGCACAGGTTCTGGCCGAGGTTGCCAAAACAGATGGCCAACGCCCATCGACTTACCTTCATGTTCAGCACCTGGTACAGACCTGCATGGAGGAAGGGAGGATATAGAAAAGTGTCAGAAATTGGTTATATTACATCTCTCTACAAATATAAGGCTGCAGCAGATGTGGACTATTTTCCATGCAGAAAGTGAAAAAAAAAGAGGTAAACATGGTTACCACAGTGGGTAGAATAGCGCACAAACTACTGCTAGCTACTATGTTTACCGTTACTAAACCACGCGAGTGTTGTTTACACTAAAACCAAGTTTGTTTATGTACACCGTATCACACACAGCAGCAGACTGCAATGTCAGGGGGTTCATTCACCGCGTGTACTGTATATATACTGTCGTTGTATACTTACATGTCTTCTTTACTCTGCCAGAGAACCTTTCCTGTGGATGCATCTCGCAGATTCATCCAATTCCTGCAAACAACAAAACGCTGCGTGAAAACCGCATCCCACCAGCAGGCGATCTACTCGCTACCTAATCCACTGTATGATCGTAATGGTTGCAGAGGAGCGATGCTTTCGCTCGTATGTCGTATGTCGTATGTATTCTACAGACGTACACCGATTTCATGGAAATGTACAGTTGCAAGAGACAGCTACACACACCCCCAAAAGAAGTTCGGTGCGAATTTCCCCCCGCTGTCGTCAGTTACGCACGGCCAAACTCACACTTTGAATCCGCGCATTATCTTAGCCTTCGAGTCCTCTGCTCCCGCGGCCATGCTCGCTATACCACTGTCTCTTCCTTGCCTCCTTCGTTCAACTGTGCAGACAGACAATCACCCACTGCTGCTTCCAAGGGGTGGGCGTGGCTCTAGTAGCCATGGGTGTTATGCGCATGCGCATGTGAGTATATCTAGTGGGCGTGGTCAATCTGGAAAGCCATGGCTGCACTTCGAGAGTTAGTAGAGGGAGAATGCGGAGCTGCCAATCCTCTCGTCCAGTGGAGCGATCATTTCCAGCAACAGAAGAGCCTGTCCCAGGGAGGAGGCGTGGGTGGGGACAGACTCCGAGAAATTGCCGTGAGCTGTCATCCCTTATATCCTGAACCTCTTTTCCATCTTCTTCTCTCTCTTTCTCTCTCGCTATTCTCCCTTTATGTGTGTGTCTTTGCAGCGACACCGCGACCCAGGACAGCTCGAAAATGAGGTAATCACTTACCACTAGCTTTTCACTGTACAAAACGTTGCTCTGTATAATATAGTTGGTGGCGGAGTTTCTCGGCAACGGGAGACCAGCGGTGCCTCAGACGTTCAATATGTCGTCTCTGCTGGCTGAGGTACAGCAGCAGCAACCTCACATCTCCACACTCTCACCCTCCCCACTCTCGCACCATGCAACAACACAAGGTGAGTTTTTCATCCACATAAAAAATTTATTGAGAAGTAAAGTATCCAATGCCTAAGTACCACCGAGTAAGTAATACAGTAACACTTCTTAATAAGGTAGACCTTGTAGACATTGAAAGTATCCCTTATTAAGGGGCATCCCTCGTTCGGAGGTAACGTATACACTTATGTATTAGTATGGGACAGGTGCAGGTGTCCTATTTGGAGGTCCTTTCAGAGGTTTCACTGTATACAAAATGTCGTTTTTCTTTCGAGCGTGATTCGAGGAAATTTTCTCAAAGTAGCACGTCAGACTAGACTGAAATATCACGTGTTTTCATTCCACCGCGTTCCCATGTTTCCAGACTCCAGTGTTCGGGAATGGGTGGATGAGTTTGCCCCTCCCCCTCATCCCCCTCTCTCCTCCTCCTCCTCGTCCCACCTCACCACTGTATCCTCTGTACCAGAGTCCTGGGCTCAGGAATACTCCCACGACCAGACAGACAAACAGGCACACGATTGGTCAGTTTCAAACGTTTGAATCTCTAAACTAGCATTCTTGTGTGTGAGCATTTTTAACAGATGTAAAAAAAATTGTTTTTCAGGAGCCAACAGTTTGCACCCAGTGAGGACGAAAAATGGTTAGTGTTCATATTATAGGAATATACTCTCTCCCTCACTGTCTCCCTTGCCGTCCATTGGCAAAATTCTCTCTTCTCAGGGCCGAGGAGTTTAGGGATCAGGTTGAGTCAAAAGGATTAGTTGCCGCGGCGAAAGAGATGAGTGAGGCAGTCACTGATCCAAAGATACAAGCCACAGAGGTAGGCCAATGATAATTATATAGCTATGTTCTCTTCCTTTGACATAAAATAGCAGCAGAACCCGTTTAATCCAGACACCAATGGAACAGAAGAAAGTGCCCATATTAGTGAGGTGTCCTTATTTCAGGGGTTAAATTGCATGCAAGAACTGTTCTTGGGGGAAAGAAAAGAGTTCTTATTAGAGAGGTGTCCTCATTTCAGGAGTGTCCTTAGAGAGGTGTCCTCATTTCAGGAGTGTCCTTAGAGAGGTGTCCTCATTTCAGGGGTGTCCTTAGAGAGGTGTCCTCATTTCAGGAGTGTCCTTAGAGAGGTGTCCTCATTTCAGGAGTGTCCTTAGAGAGGTGTCCACTGTACTTTCTACTTTTCTACTTTTTTCAGTTTATGGATTTTGTGCGAAAACTGGGAAAGGGAGAGGGTGCTGTCGAGGGTGACGAGGTCAAAGGTAAAACCACGGATGCGAAATGGGTCGGGGAGTATTTGGGGACTGAGGGAGAAGAGGAGGAAGAGGAGGCGGGCTACTGGGGACAGCTAGAGAAAGAGTGGCAGGAACTCTCCAAGTATGTGGCTGAACTTTGACCTGTATACAACCTCTGAATAGAAGACACACTGGGACGATGAATGTATACAGATCAGTGGCGGATCTAGGATTTTGAAAGGGGGGGTTCCGCTGTCCAGAACGTTTTTGACTGCGCTCGTGCGCGTGCACAAGGCCAGCGACGCATGCGCGCAAAACGACAAAAAGGATGGTTCCGCGAAACCCAAGGAACCTCCCTGGATCCGCCACTACAGATAGAAAACCTATACTTTGACCGAAAATTTCTTCAACTTCATGCATATGGGTGTAGTTGCCTTTGCTTGCTTTGACATGCATAATCTGATGCTAATCAACACCATTGGGACAGTAGACAGTATCCGTATTAGCTACACATACACACTCTCTCTTCTCTCTCTCTCTCTCTCTCTCTCTCTCTCTCAGACAGAATACTCATCCCTGGCTGGACGACTTTGCCGGTTTCAGTGAACAGAAAGACTACCAGTTCAGTGAGGACAACCACCTGAAAGAGGTGGAAAATGCTCTGGAAGAGGGGAAGAGGAGGCTGAGCGAGGGAGATCTGCCTTCAGCAGTCTTGCTGTTTGAAGCTGAGGTATAATTATAGTACATATGAAGGTATTATACCATGTGATGCAAAAAGGATGGGTGCTCTGGACAGCTGTTTCGGGCTTGTTGGCCCTCATCAGCAGAGCATACCATAACTTCTCTCTCTGGCATCACGAATATGTAACTAATGGATTTTTGTATACAGTGGAGCCTCTCTCTAAGTACACCCCTGAAACTTAGGACACTTTTCTATTTTCTCCAGGTGCAACGGAACCCTGACAGTATTGAGGTAAGTGTTAATAGTTTACGTGGGGTGTCGTAGTTCAAAATCTTCTTGCAGTTGGTGCAAACCAACGATTACAGAACCATGTTGCACTCCCCCAGGTTTTACCAGCTGTGTATATATACTCATGTCTTTCTCTCTCTCCATCTCTCCTTCGTCTGCCAGGGCTGGCAGTACCTCGGGATCACACAGGCCAACAACGAACAAGAACACGCGGCCATTGCTGCCCTCCATCGCTGTCTCCAGCTATCTCCCTCCAACCTCTCCGCCCATCTGGCACTCGCCGTCAGTTACACCAACGAATCCCAGCACAATAGGGTGGGTGTGGCTTAGTGGCATAAAATCGCCATAGCAACACAGATACATCACCATGGAAACCTGAGGATCTAATCTTTGGGATCACTAGCGTTTGGAAATCCGATTTTGATGTGGGAGGGGTCTTTTTAGTATACAGAAACACATGTACATATTTGGAAATTGTATGATGTCATTGTGATGTAATGCCCGACAGGCTCTGGAGTCACTGAGGAACTGGCTCTACCACAATCCAAAGTATCGTCATCTGGCGCCTGAGTCTGGTGTTGCAGCTGCCGGGAAGCCCCACCTCTCCTCTTTCATGGCACCGTGGGTCTCTCTAGCTCTCTCTCTCTCTCCAAATTTTTAGGACTCTTATTTTTGCATCCTCCATCTACGACCCTCTGATCTGTAAATTTTTTACACTACCTAAAAAGTGTTTATGGTTTCAACGCTCTCAAATTTCAACCATCTTGTCAACAAAATTAATGATAATGTTTGTATCTGCTACAGGCAAGAGCATAAAGATGTGTGTGATCTGTTCCTGAAGGCAGCTCAGACCTCGCCAGAGACACTGGACCCTGATATACAGGTTCAGAGAACCAGAAAACCCTGTTTTACTCCTCGCTAACCGATCCGGTACTGTCAGGTGTGTCTTGGAGTTCTGTACAACCTGTCAAACGAGTTTGACAAGGCTGTGGACTGCTTCACTGCGGCTCTGCAGACCAGACCCGACGTGAGTTTGTCATGTGACTATCACATGATGTCATTGAGTGTCATGTGATCCCAGGATGCTCTGCTGTGGAACAAGCTGGGAGCCACTCTGGCCAACAGCAGCAGAAGTGAAGAGGTTAGAGGAAAACGGTGCTTTGTAGAGAGAAACTGTTGTGAACCTGTGTTCCGAATGTCCCACCTTTATAACTTATCGGTGAAAGTTTGGCCCATAAGCAAGTTCTGTAGCATGTTTAGTTCTCCCTCCCTTCTCCCTTTTCTCTTCTCCCTTATCCCCCCTCCCTCCCTCCCTCTCCTCCCTCCTCCCTCCTTCCTCCCTCCCTCTCCTCCCTCCCTCCCTCTCCTCTCCCTCCCTCCCTCTCCTCACGCAGGCAGTCCATGCCTACAGACAGGCTCTCGCCCACATGCCTGGTTTCACTCGCTGTCGCTACAATCTCGGCATCAGCTGCATCAACCTCAGAGCGTACCAGTATGTCACACCTGTACACCCAATGTTGTTTTCACTCATATCTCTTGTAACATTTCAAGGACTTAACTCTTAATGGTGCGGCTCTGGAAAAAATTAAACGGAACGTGTCAGTACGTAAAGGCTAAAGATGGCAATAAAACCAATAAGGTTTCCATTTGTACACTGCCACATTCCATTTAACTCCTTTGTCACGGAGAACTGTTTAACTCCTTTGTCACAGAGAACTGTTTAACTCCTTTGCCACAGGGAGGGTGCAGAGCATTTCCTTACAGCATTGAACCACCAAAGACAAGCAACTGGTACAGCAGAAACGGTGGGCGAGGCCAAGGTGGGAGTGGCACAGATGTCTGAGACGATATGGTCGACGCTGCGTCTGGCAGTCTCGTTCCTGGGTCGCTCCAGTCTCATTCCCATTCTGGAGGCACGGAACCTGGACACATTGTTAGCAGAATTTGGACTCGCTACAAAATAATAATATCAAAACCACCAATTATCAGTTGTTTTTATAATTTGACTCATAAGATTATTATACAAAAAATAGTCAATAGGTTGACGAAGCAAATCAGAAATAAATCTTTGTGAAAAATTAGTGTCACAAGTAGTATATAGGCAATTGGAGGAAGAAGTCAACAACAAAAAAGATGAAAGTTGTGTGGTGTGTGTGAATGGAGTGCTATAACGTTGAGCTGATCTCAATGAGAGTTGCTGATCGTGATCTCTCTTCTATTGGTTTCAGCTTCCCCTCTATCGCTTCTCTTAGCTGGGGAGAGGGAAGGAGAGAGATAAGAGATCGGGAACCTCAAGCTTTTCACTAACATAACCTCACAAAACGTATAGTATGCTAACCACCTGTTGTTAATTTATCCTAAACCAACTGCCTTTTTCGCCAACTATTTGAGCCCCGCCTACTCTTAAAAAACACTCCCCATAAAAATATTGAGACGACTGCTGTTAATAGGGTCTTACATCTTTGAGGGTGACCACGCCCACTAATCTCCCAATACTGGTGACGTAAGCGTGAGAGAGACAGAGGATGGAGAAGAGGGAGTGGATCTTGTAGAGACTCGTCCGCTCCACCAGCTGGAAGGGGGCGGGGTCAATGTAGCTCTTTTTGAAGTCGATTGTCTGAGAGAGAAGTTCTTCTTTTAGCTCGTCCAGCGCCTGAGGGATGGAGCGAGGAAGAAGGGGAGGGAGGGAGAGAGACGGAGAATAGGACATTAAACACCTGCCACGGTCCATGCTAACCTGCCAGGGTATATAGAAAGGTTCGCGTGATTTCGTGTTAGCCGCGAATATGGCCGACTTTTCGCGTATTTTCGCGGGACATGTCTACATTTACACTATCATGCAGCGTGCCAAAGTTGCAGCTGACATTGTCTACTTATCTGAAGAGGTGAAACGTATCAACTAAATTTTTATATTGTAAACATCAACGAGGTTATAAATCAAAGGCAAATTGAACAACATTGAGGACAACTCTTTTTTCATAGCGTCCAATCACACGTTTTTCTCTCTCTCATTCTCTCCTCTCTCTATATACCCGCCACCTGCCACGCTAACCTGTTTCGGTCCCTCTTGATCCGACGACCACTCCATTCTGTCATCTACTTCCTGCACCGGGAGGAAATGACGTCATAATCAGAGGTGCAATACGATTGGTCGGTTGCGTTAGACCGACTTACAGGGAAATCTGGTTTGTCTGAAGAGCCGAAAATCTTTGCCAGTGAGTGAGGAACTGGGAAAAAACAGAAAAGAGGAAAACCTATAGCGTTTTTCAATTACAGGAAAAATTGTTTTCTACGTGGCGCATGTACGGGTGTGCGGCACCCGCAAACAGGCAAAAGTTTTTTAAAAAATAATCACACGCAAATGAGAGGGGTCCAGGAGGTCTATTTTCAGAAGTTACAAGCTCACCAGACGATATTCTTTTCTTCATGACATCTGCAGCTTTGTCTGGCGTCTGAGGAGAGAGAATTAGTGGTTCCATCACTTTGCAAGAAAACGCAACATTAACTAACGTTTCTTCCCGATCGTCCATCTATCTCGTCGGCATCGCTGTAAACAAAAAACAACAACCAAATTGTAAACAACAACAAAAACACTCGACGCAATAAATACATTCCTATGAACACTAAACATTTTGGCTGCTGAATCGTAACACAATCGATGCGGGGGCGGTGCCTGTTGCTAGGCGACGACCAATCAGATTAAGACTCACTGAGTTCCGCGGATCTGCTGGGCGTGTTTGTAGAGCCCTCTCAGGTGGTCTTCCAGGAGGGCTGCCAGGTTGTGTCTCGATACGGAACCAATCAGGATCCGGGAATCTGGGGTGGGAATGGGAACACCTTTGTTCAAGTATACATGTCTATTGCACTGGGAGCAAGGTAAGACGAAATACAGGAATAGGACGTCGAGATTTGCCCAAAACCCGAAAAACGAGCTCCTTACAAGCAAACACACAATTTTACAAGCGTTTGTTTGCATGTAAAATATCACATGAAAGCTACAAGTAAACGTGGCAGTAGAAGACTAGACGGCTAGCCGACCTGGGGCGTCAACCAGAGGATATGATGGATGGTGAGTTGTTCGCAGCAGTGTCTGCAACTCTCCGTACGTTGAACGATACGAAACATACGTCAGGTCCATCTGCATTATGTCGGTCGCATACAGATTGTAGTACCTGTAGTATACAGGAGATTACAGAGAGTATGCAGGGATTTACTGGAGTATGTAAGGGATTACTGATAGAATACTGACTTGTTGGGCTTGAGGTCAGGAAGATAGGAGAGCTGTTTCAGGAGAATGATGCTGTCGTAGATGGACGGTTGGAGGGCACTTGATATTGCATTGGATATCAATACCGCAATCTGCAGTCAGTAAATCATCAGTAAATCCCAGTAAACTGTCAGTAATCCTGAGTACTTCTCAGTATATTCTCAGTAAACCCTCAGTAAATTTCTTTCAGTAATCTACTTACCATGACAGGAAGAATGTGAGTGATTTGTCCGGTCAGTTCAAACACAATGACTGACGTCGAAATTGTGTGAGTCACTGAACCAGCCAATGCAGCGGCACCTGTGCATGTTTCAGTAATCTCTCAGTAAACTAACACACACCTTAGTAATCCCTTAGTAGATGAGTGCACACTCTAGTATTCTCTCAGTTAACACCCTCAGTAAATTAATGCACACTTTAGTATTCTCTCAGTAAAGTATAGTAGTATTCTCAGTAAATCTCTCAGTAAACCAATTCCCTCTAGTAAACTAGTCCATCTTGTATTCTCTCAGTAAACTAACCAAAACTTCAGTAAACCCTCAGTATACCCTCCTCACCCACGACGGCGTATCCTCCGGGAGATACAATGGACCCGTTGACTCCGTTGGGAAATGCCGTTGCCATGGCTTCACCGACCAGTCGCCCCAGGGCAGCTCCCAAAACAAAAACAGGGAAGAAGACTCCGGAAGGAATTGGGAGGGAGACAGCTATGGCTGTGAACAGAAACTGCGACGAAAAAGAAGAAGATAAAAAAAGATGTTTTAGAGATTGTAAGAACATCAAGAGTGTTCTTTGAGGAAGAAAAGTGATATCTTTGGTGACTTTGTGGATGGCAAAGATTTCTTCACAAATTAATGATGTTTCATACCATATTGAAAACACCTCATAGGGACATGCTAAATTTTTTGTCTTTATCCAAATTTTGGTGATCAGCTGGTCAGGAAAATGAGCTAAATTTGTTCTGTTGGAACTTTACTATTGACAAACTAATATAGCTCCCCAAACTGTTTCATAATCACGTGCATGTGACTGACTCACACGAAGGGCACTAAATAGAAGCAGGGTGACAAAGATGTTGGGCTGGCCCCACTGTCGCACTATCTGGTACTCCTCGGAATCTTCCGGAAGGTCTTGAAATGCCTCGTGAGGCGGAGGGAGAGTCGACCAAGTGACGTTGGAGAACAGGTGGTTGATGGCCGCGTGTTGCGTTAGCTCGCCAGCCATGAACTTTCCGACACCAAGCGGAAAGGTGAGGGACGTGAAGAGGATCGTCACTATCACCGGGTAGATAAATACACTGGAGGAGGGACGATGTAATGGTAAATATAAATTTACTGTGAGTATGGGGAAATGATGATGTAATGGTGAATAAAGAGAGTATGGGGAAATGATGATGTAATAGTGAATAGAAATGTATGGGGAGTATGGGGAAATGATGATGTAATGGCTAACTGTTTCTCCAGGAGTCGTGTGTAGTTCCTCAGCTTCCTGCGGGCGTGGACATACTGTTTGTGGAACCAGACGAAAGCCACACCCACCAAACCGGCTACAACACTGTAGAAGTAGAAGGAAGGAGAGTGAGTTAGTGGAACCTCTCTCTAAAGACACCTGAAATGTCTGATAAGGACCATTTCCCCCAAAAACGAAATAAGGAGTCGGACACCTCCCTAATATGGGCATTTTATTCTGCCCATTTGTGTCCGTATTAGAGGGGTTCCGATCTATTGAGTGGGTGGAGTTGATACTACATACACCGGTCACATCACGAAACTCCGCCCACAAAGACCACACCCACCCAATAAAAGCGAAGGCCGACAGCTCCTGGAGGTCAAAGGGGAAATCAGGTCTGAACGACGTCTTGAAAAGTGCGGTGATTGTTTCTTCGTCTTTGAACCAGACGGCCGCCAGTCGGAAGAGGAAGGCGCCGCAAACCGCTCCAAAGAACCCCCTCCAGTAGTTTCTGACTGCGAAATAGGTCGAGGTTACCTCGATGCTGAATAGCACGCCTGGAGGGAGAGGTGAAGGGGGGAGGGAAGGGAGGAGAGAAAACAGTGGAAGGTAATACGTGTACCTTACCTCGTCCTTCCAAGTGCTTAGTACATACGTAACAGGCATTCTAACAGCTCTCTATGAAGGACACTCCCTTAAACACAATGTACACTGCGTCGAGCAAAATTCCCTCCCCCAATACATCGGGGGTTTAGTGCTATTGATTGTATTACGTGGCGTTACGTCATCATGGCACAGTATATATATAATACACCAAGAGAGTGGAGAAGGAGTAAGAGAGGGGGAAACGAACCTCCTATTGATTGTATTACGTGGCGTTACGTCATCATGGCACAGTATATATATAATACACCAAGAGAGTGGAGAAGGGAGTAAGAGAGGGGGAAACGAACCTCCTATTGATTGTATTACGTGGCGTTACGTCATCATGGCACAGTATATATATAATACACCAAGAGAGTGGAGAAGGAGTAAGAGAGGGGGAAACGAACCTCCTATTGATTGTATTACGTGGCGTTACGTCATCATGGCACAGTATATATATAATACACCCAGAGAGTGGAGAAGGAGTAAGAGAGGGGGAAAAACGAACCTCCTATTGGAGCTCCGAAGTTTGAACTGACTCCAACCGCACAAGCAGCTGCCAGTAGCTCGTTATTGTGAGCCTCGTTCTGCAACGATTTAATGATGACATCATTCAAAATTATGTAATCACGATAAAATATTCCACAGCGTCTCACCGCATATAGTCTGTTGATGGTAGTTACAAACTTGCTCATAACGTGTGCTATGATACTCGATATGTGAACAAATGGCCCCTGATTAGGAGAGAGACACAAAAGGGTTAATCGGTGAATCAGCGGTAGTGAGAAAAGGGTTAAATTTCCAAAAAAATAAGGTTACATAATCACCTCTTTTCCAATTGGTAGACTGCTACCAACGGCCGCAACCAAGGCAATCTATATAGGTAAGGAAATGTTTTAGTTAAAAGGTGTTCCTGAACCAATTCCATTCCAAGTGGTATGGAATGGAGACTAACAGTCTTGGCGATGAATGTTCGTATGGTGAGATAGTCTGTCAGATAAATTCCTCTCAGAACAGTCTTCATTTCTGGAATACCAGAACCTGCATACGTCCGTACAAGAACAATTACGATGACATCATCCATAATACGAGTGATTATCATCATAAATACGGAGAAATAATTAAATCATCAATAATACAAGTGAGATCATCGTAAATGCAGAAAAAACAATTGCGATGACATCATTAGCAATATGAGTGACGTCGTTGTAAAAACGGAGGCTCACCGATTGCGTGGATGGAGACGACTTGTACAAAGGTGACGGAGAAGAGGATTAGGACGAGCGGAAACGAAACCCAGAGAAAGTACTTCAGGACTGGGTTAGCCAGAGGCTGGAGTCTGAGGGCGAGAACTATGTGGGCTGAGGGAGAGAGGGGGAGAGGGAGAGAGAGAACAAAATGACGGAATGAAAAATCTATGCTATAAAAAATTAGGGCTTAACATATTCACTCCTGAAAATGGTTGCTTATTCCTAACACTATAGCTATAATTAAGGCCTCCACATTCTAGTTACTCCTTATTTGCACCGCGCTCTCAAGATTTGCAGCAAAAGTGAAGTGATGAAGATAGTATTTGCTCTCACCGCAGCTAGGATCTCATGCACCCACGAACTCAAGTACACATACCTTGTCCAATCACATCTATGAGATAGTCGATGACGAAGCTCAGAAACGCCATTGAAATTCCCAGAACGAGGATGAACAACCAGTCGACCATGTATGGCAGGATCTTCTCAGAAAAGTATCTTCTAATCTCTGTTGACAGGGAGGGGGGGGGGAGGGGGGGAGAGGGGGGGAGACAACTGTTAGTAAAATTACACAGAAGGACTATTATTCACACATAAAAAATTCAAGAAGTACGGGAAGGTTGTTTTGTGTAGGGTGTCAAAGGTTAACCCACACACTCACACTTGAGCCATACAGCAGTTAATGGAGAATTCTGTTTCAGGGGGCCAAATTTCCCGTGTGCCCCCCTACCCCCCTCTGCCTGGAAAAACACCCGGCTGAGAAAGATTAGGTTATGTAACGTACTGTAAGTCTTTAGTTTCTTCTTCAGAGCTTCCTCGATGTCGGGTGGCTGGTGAGGTGTGGTCCTGCGAGAGGCAGCAAACTCACTCGCAAACCTCTGCAGCTCAGAGTAGCGACCATACATCTACATACAGTGGAAGACAGAAGACAGATGCGTCATGCAGTTAAACGTTGCAGACAAAAATCAGGAACATGTATATAGCTCCATGTTTATATATAGAGGTTTATATTGGACCCTTCCCCTATTGCGGTGCCACGTGGGCACGCGAAGTCTAGTACGGGATAAAAGGGGGCGTATCTTGTAGGTTTAGACCATCACCGTCTTGCATCAGAATAGCAAAGAGAAGGAGATGTGTAAAAGTGAAGTGTAAACAGCGCTGACTCCATACAAAAGAGGGGCGGTGCGCGCCTCCGAGGGTAGGTTTCGTAACGATAGTCTTTCCCAGGCCCTTACCAACGTCTTTTCATACTGCATCTCCTCCACGGTAGTCATCTTGGAAGCTCTCCTCCTGCACAGCAGACTCAAGAAGAGAGATCCGGGTACACAAAGCTAACTCTCTAAATTAGCGAATTGAGTGTTCAATATTCCACGTGCGGGGGCGTTTCTTCTAAATAGCGCACAGCTCACCTCCTCGAGTGTGTACGAGTAAGCTGGCGGCCACTGACAAGCCTGCTGACTAACTCTAACGCTCTAGGAGGAAAGGACGGAGGCTTGGCTCGGCAGGAGTACCGATGGGTGGAGGGAGAAACGGACGCTACATGAAGTGGCTGGTAGCCTTGCTAGTGTTTCTGGGTACGGTGTACGTGTTCTACCAGTACCGCGGACTGAGTAGCTCCTTGCGAGAGAAGGAGGAGGAGCTGGAGCGATTGGAGGACCTTCAAAGTCGCCTAGGAGACCAGCTGAAAGGTCTGTATTGTAGCCTACTACTGTTTAGTCTTGCATGGACAATGGTTGTGTGACCCCTCCCATTTGGTGTGACCCCTCCCATTTGGACACTTATCTGACAGAAAATGTAACCGTTAGTGAGGTGTCCTTATTTCAAGGGTCAAATTACATGGAAACAACTGTTCTTGTTCATAAATCAGAGAGTTGTCCTCATTTCAGGGGTGTCTTTAGAGAGGTGTCCTCATTTCAGGGGTGTCCTTAGAGAGGTGTCCTCATTTCAGGGGTGTCCTTAGAGAGGTGTCTTCATTTCAGGGGTGTCCTTAGAGGTGTTCCAATGAATACGTGTGGGAGAAAATAAGGAGACAATGAAGAGAAAGAGAGAGAGAGAGAAAAAGAAAAAGAGAGATAGAGAAAAAGAAAGAAGCTGGCCAACACATGAGAGGCAGAAGCAAGGGAGAGAAAAGCGAGAGGAGTTCCTTGCCTGCCATATTGAAGGGTCGGTCCTGTAAGACCAGTCGTCACTGATACCTCCCTCACCCCACTGACTCGTCACCCGCATGTCCTCGTACATCATTGTCCTCTGTCGCTCACCCATCCCGAAAAACCGGTTTTCCAAACAGGTTTTGTGTTTAAACTTCGCCTGTGTCTTTTTTAGATTTGGCTGGAAGCCACACCTCCATGCAAGATGAGCTAAAGTTGGAAAGGGTTAATCATCATCGGACCAGAATGGGTATGAATTTTGTCTGCAGTGTCCGGTTCCCATAACTCATTCCAGAATGGAACCTAACTGGTTTCCCCAACAACACATGTGCTGAAAAGGAATGCACAACTGCACTACAGTAACGCAGAGAGAGGCAGAGCACTCTGTTCTAGAGAGGGCTCTACCAACTGAGCTACTGAGGCAGCTCAGTTGGCTGGGCTGAATCACTCATACAGAGCAAGGCAGAGCACTCTGTTCTAGAGAGGGCTCTACCAACTGAGCTACTGAGGCAGTTCAGCTGGCTGGGCTGAATCACTCATACAGAGCAAGGCAGAGCACTCTGTGTACTAGAGAGGGCTCTACCAACTGAGCTACTGAGGCAGCTCAGCTAGCTGGGCTGAATCACTCATACAGAGCAAGGCAGAGCACTCTGTGTTCTAGAGAGGGCTCTACCAACTGAGGCAGCTCAGCTGGCTGGGCTGAATTACTCATACAGAGCAAGGCAGAGCACTCTGTGTTCTAGAGAGGGCTCTACCAACTGAGCTACTGAGGCAGTTCAGCTGGCTGGGCTGAATCACTCATACACAATAATTTAAAAAAAACACCTGGCTTTAGGCCAAGTCTTCACAGGTATGTCAATGCTTACATGTTAGTTGATCTTTCTCTGCCTTTCAAAAGTTATTAAATTACCATTGAAACCTCCGCTGCACATAAAAACTACGTTATGCAGTAATCCAAATAGAGCCCACTTGTAAGTACTTTTACATCGGTCGATTGTGTCCTCGCTTGTCATGTGACATTCTATTGTCGTGACAACTGATTCATGTGTGTGTTACGTCATGTTTCCATGCCGACAGAGAAGAGCGCACTGGACAAACAATGCCAGGCAGACCTCAAGTCCCTGAAGGTCTGTTTATCAGTTTCCATGGATGCAATGTCACATGACAATCATGTGTTTTTACTCAGGAAACTGCAGACTCGGAAAAATTCAAGCTGGAGCAGGAGCGAGAAAATTGCAAGGTGGAAATTAGCCTTCACCTTTTTACTGGCTACGTACAACATACATTACATCATCATTACATCATACTGGATAGTTACGTAAGCATTTAAGTAAGAAAGCTAGGAACTATTGCTATAAGCAAACAACAGATTCTTGTCAAAAAAACCTGCTCTGTTTTCGCTTGAAAACATCAAGTCTGTCTGTCTGTGTGTCTGTCTGTCTTCAGATGGAGATGGAGGAAATGAAGGATTCGAAGCAGAGAATACAGACTCAGCAGGATTCTCTACTATCGCGCTACGATGAAGACATTGCTGCCTGCGAAAAGGAAAAAAACCGAAACGCAGGTACTGCAGTGCAGGAAATATGTGTACTCTTTTTTGAGACGCACAAACGTTCACAAGTTGAAAAAAGGGTTTTCTAGAAAACTTTATTGTATGATTATAACTCTTCCTCGAATTTCAACGAATTTCCAGTTGAAAATTTCCCTCTACTCCACTTGTAGCAATTAAATTGTGTATGTGCCTCAGAGAGACTTGGTTCGTACGTGACAGATATAGCAAAGGGCAACACTGCAAAACAGAGGGCCGAGGCTGAGTTGACACAATGCAACACCCAAGTGAGGGGTTTAGGATGCATGTGAATGTTGAATTCACCCTCCCGCATCCCCCTCTCTCTCCTTTCCCTTTTTTTGCTCTTTCTCACTCCATTTCTCCTTCCTCCCCCTCCTCTTCTCCACCTCCTCCTCTCCACCTCCTCCTCCTCTTACTGTTGTCGATGTAGCTGGCAGCATTAGAAGACAGTCTCCACATGAAGGACTTCCGATATTCCTCACTTCAAAACGATCTCCTCAATTGCCAGGAGGACCTGCAAACTATGACCTCACAAAAGGAAAAGATTGAAGAAGAAATGGAGGAACTGAAGGTGGGTTTGTGTCCCGAAATGAGGTGTCCTGATAGAGAGGATGTCCTGATAGAAACCATGTCCTGAAATGAGGTGTCCTGATAGAGAGGATGTCCTGATAGAAACCATGTCCTGAAATGAGGTCTCCTGATAGAGAAGATGTCCTGAAATGAGGTGTCCTGATAGAGAAGATGTCCTGATAGAAACCATGTCCTGAAATGAGGTCTCCTGATAGAGAAGATGTCCTGAAATGAGGTGTCCTGATAGAAACCATGTCCTGTAAGAGGGGTGTCCTGGTAGGGATGATGTCTCGTTATTAGAGCATCCGAAGTCCCTGCCCCTGTAATTTGAGCTCTTTCCACTGTTTCCATAGCGACAAGGTCTTCCCGGGAAAATGGCGGGAAACATGGATCACCTGACTGACAAAGACGCGCTGTTTAAGGCCATGTCTGAGAAACTGAGTCGCGGGGAGCTACTGAACGAGCATGAGAAAAAGATTCTCGAGCTACTGAAAAACGGACCCCCCGAGGAAGGGGACCAGAAATTTGACACCTGGGGGGCTAGAAACGCGAGGCAGAATCCCTATGTCAGTGACGGAGGAGAGAGGGGTGGGAAAGCTCAGCGGTTCCCCCAAATTCCCCACGGGCAGCCCCCCGCTGCTCAGAAATTCAGACCCCCAGTGGGGGATGGAAGATTCCCCGGTTACAATCCAGTTGGTGGTGGAGGTCGTGGAATGGAACCGAATCTGGGGCGTGTCCCTGGTGGAATGGGAACGAAACGGAGCTCCAGCGAGAAACAGCAACTCCCGGAGCTCGCCGAGCAAGAGGAGGTGAAAGAGCTACAGATTGAGGACCAAGAGCCGCAAGGAAGGGTAGCGGGTGTCGGTGTAGCAGGGAGAGAGGGAGGAGGGGAGGACGGAGATCAAGGAATGGACGAGCAGGCATTTGACCCGGAAGAGAAGAAACCGGGGGAGGAGGAGGAGGAGGAAGAGAGGGATTACAATTTCGATCAGGTTCAGGAGAAGCCGGTTGAAAATCTCAATCTTCCGGTTCCTGGAGGAGGACAAGGTGGAGCAAATCCAGATCCTCACAGGTTGGTAGACAACGGGCGATACTGACGTAATGGTGATGAATTGTTCACACACACACACACACACACACACACTCTCTCAGAGTGGTGGTGGATGGAGGTGGAGCCAAGGTTCACTCTCCTCCAAAGTTTGAGAATCCCGACACGGCCTTTGACAACCCGGACCAGATGAATGAGCAGGAAGAACTGGAGAAAGAACAAAACGTGAGGACACCGTCTATTGCATGGTGCACACCATCCAATTGGTATGTAGTATTCACCTCCATGTTCTTGCTAAAATGTACACGAACAACCCCATTTCACACCGCGCACCCTCCCTGCTAAACATCTAGGTTTTCAAAGGCAGTTTGTTAGCCTGTCTTTCCCCATGCATACTTACTAAAAGTTTACCCAAGGCCACTCAATTTTCAGAGACAATCCTTTATTTTTGCGCGTAATAGTGGTCTCACATAATATCTCTCTCTCTCTCCTGGGCTCAGGGAGAAGAAGAGGAAGGCATGAATAACGACGAGTTGGCACACAGGCAGTTTGAAGAAGACATGAGAATGGACCGGGAGGAGAGACTGAGGATTAAGGCCGTTCCCAGGGGTCGCGGTATGGAACAGGGGCAGCGGGGATGGAATGGGGACCGTGGTGGTATGGAACAGGGACAGCAGGGGGTGGATTATGTAATGAGACAAGAGATGAATGTCAACGACCAGAGGAGAAAGGAAGTGAGCAATCAACTCGAGATTGAAGAGCTACAGAGAAGGTGGGCACTAATAGGAATCCTGCAATGATGGCATTATGACATCATTATCACTCCAATGCTTCTAAATTGAATACTTAGTTGTATGTATTAGGTCCATGTCATGTTTTCGTGATTATGTCGTGATGACATCATCTCTATTGTGCTACAGATTGAACCAACCACGTTTCGGACAGAGAGACAATCTTAGATGATGAGAAACGTAATAATTATTTCCTACTCTCAATTCATACATGTGTCTCAATATTTTGATTTGTATCATTACAGAGAAAATCAGATTTTTTTTCATGCACATTTTGTGAGGGAAGAGAGCCCACCAGCTAATTACATTGTTGTCCATATTATGTCTGTGTAATGACCGGCTGTTAGCAATGGGCGGAACCGTTAACAAACGAACATACACCATATGAACACGAGGTGTCTGTCTCACCTCCCAGACACCTCAACTCACCCCTTCCACCATGCAGCGACACCCTGCAGCTCCCCAGACGCATACTAAGTAATAAACGATAGTTAAACGTCTATACACGGCATGAATACAGATCAACGAAAATTTACAAGTGCAGTTGACTGTCATCGAGTTGTTGGTTAGTCTTTGTTGTCGGTAAGTGCGCCATAACCGTTTCTTGTACGTCCGCTAACTCTCCATTCATCTTCCTCGTCTTGAACTGCTCCCTGGATGTTGCCCTGGGAACTGAAACAGGGGAGACTCGATTCCTCGTCTTTTCCTTTAATTAGAGGCTCTTCCTCGTCGTCGGTGACCTTTGACCCCCTGCGGAGTTTCCTGGCACCGCCATGACCACAGGGTTTTCCGAAGCAGCCGTAGATGATAAACTGGGTGAATATCTGGCTCCCGCGGACGGGTTAAAGAACACCACAAACATATCAAGTTGTTTTCTGGGGAAAATGTACAATCAAAATAAGGTTCCCAGGTGCTCTGTAGCTGCATGAATCAAATGATAGTTTGTGTTCGTGAAATCTGTTTGTGTGTAAAGCCACACACACAACACACACACACACACACACTCACACACACACACACACAACACACACACACACACACACACACACACACACACACACACACACACACACACACACACTCACACACTCACTCACACACACACACACTGCATACACAATAAGTCATCCACTTGTTGACGTAGTAAGATACGGTAAAGTCGAAACACAAGGTTCCGATGCTTCCGACAAGCCACGGGAGCTTGGCGATGAGAAACTGGTCCTCCGTCGAGTAGAGAAATATCCCCAGAGAGTAAGTCACATTGCCCATGACAGCCAGTATGAACATTGGGAGCGAGACCCCTGACACTGAACAACGGGAAAACTGTGGGAGGGAAGGGGTTAAGAAGAAAACTGGCACCACTGACACAGAACAACGGGAAAACTGTGGGAGGGAAGGGGTTAAGAATAAAACTGGCACCCCTGACACAGAACAACGGGAAACTGTGGGAGGGAAGGGGTTAAGAAGAAAACTGGCAAGACTCTAACTCCCAGGGTTTAATCTTCGTTACAAAACTATATTCAAGCAAAAGGGTTAAAAGGGGAATGATAGGGCCTTCAAAAGGGGGAAGCCCAAAAACCAGTATTTACAACCTTGGTGTACATGAAGAAAACTGGTAAAAACTGTTTTTGCTTGTTGGAGACTGCCCGTTTTCCTTACGTTCTGTACGATCTGAGGCAGCCGTGAGCCGAGGTAGAACACAGCTGAGATGCAACCAATGATGTAGCCAACAAGAAACTCCACATCCTGAGAAATGGAAGAGTATTGCAAATGTGCAGATTGATTATCTACTGCTCATCTGATGTTAATTCACAAATAATACGGAATAGAGGTCAGGTGCACCACATTAATCAGGACGCCTCACTAATCAGGATACCTCACTAATCAGGACACCTCGCTAATCAGGACACCTCGCTAATCAGGACACTTCATTGATCAGGATGCCTCGCTAATTAGGACACCTCACTAATCAGGACACCTCGCTAATCAGGACACCTCACTAATCAGGACACCTCACTAATCAGGACACCTCGCTAATCAGGACACTTGATTGATCAGGATGCCTCGCTAATTAGGACACCTCACTAATCAGGACACCTCGCTAATCAGGACACCTCGCTAATCAGGACACCTCGCTAATCAGGACACCTCACTAATCAGGACGCCTCGCTAATCAGGACACCTCGCTAATCAGGACACCAGAAAATCAACTCCGCTCCCTGGTGGTGGAACTACAGACAGTGAAAACTGCGTGAACAGTACACAGTTCATGTTACGGCGGCTGGGGATGCTGAGGGTGGCGGTAGAGTGAGGTGTTTGGGAGGTGAAACAGACATCACTATCTCGAGATGAACAATAAAACCAAAGATATAGGGATGGTGTCATGTGGCTGAGGACCAACTTTTACACTTTCCCAAAGTCTACTTTGTTCAAAGTTCTAAAGCAAACCTTTAAGTAAACAGCAAAGTCTATACATTATACTACGTATTAGAAGCCCGAGGGCCCTCGTAAATTTTTGTGAGTATTATGATGTACCTGTAACAATTTTACGTCATGCAAAATTTTTACGGACTACAGTAGCTCTTACATTCCAGTCAGTCAAATTTTGACTGTCGCTGTCTCTTAGTGACAGGAGGACTCTGCCGTGTCTTGTTGGGAGTAGGCGAGAGGAGGAGGAGGAGGAGGAGGAGGAGGAGAGGGAGGAGAGAGAGGGCCAGCTGGCCAGGAGGGTGAGACAGACGAGGCCGGGGAGGAAAATGGCGGCAGTGGCTCCCGTGTTCCTGGGACACAGGAATATTCGTGGAAGACCTGAAAATTGAGGACAAAGATAAAATTGAGGGGACAGACAAGGAAATCACAGAAAGGGGCGATTTTAGCAGCAAACATAAACCCATAATTGAAGGGGTCAGAGTCAGAATGAGCCAACTCTCAATGTTCTATAAGGACATTTAGAACATATTTGAAGGAAAACTGGCAAGAGTTGTATATTGAGGGTTGGCTCACTCTGACCCCTTCAATTTAAGCTCACACTTTGTCGGTAGGCAAGGTGAATTTGTAAAATTTGTGGACGGAGGCCATATATTCACCAGCTGCAAAAACTGGTATGCAATAGTACCAAGAGAAGGCCAATTTGGTTTTGGCACGCTGCATGTCACATGACTTGTGCAGTAACTGCGCCTCACCTCTCCATCCCTGATTCTTGACGACATAGTAGAGGAACTGGCTCATCATGACCGTGTCAATTATGCAGAAGTACACCGCCGTGATAATCTACAAAATATACAAAATAGTTTTTTTTACTAGTAGCAAACTTTGTGGTATTTATTGTACAGGTTTCGACCTGGGAGGGTAGCTGATGTGTAAGAAGGGCCCCGGCGAGGTTTGTTGCATCTCCTAAGAACCACTGTAGGAGGAACCAGAATGACAGAGCTTTATCGGCGATCCCCAGTCTACAGTTGGTCACAAGCTGCCTGGATAGAGGAAGAGAGAGAAAGAGAGAAGGAGAGAGAGAATGAGAGAGAGAATGAGAGAGTGTGTGGTTGTGGGTGCTGTCTAAAAACAATAGATATAGAAATCTCGATCTAAAACTCACGGAGCCTGCGCCACTAGCCAGCAGAGAATGGAAGAGAGACCGATGAAAAAGGCGACGTATTTCAGCGGCGTGTCGATACACTCTCCGAACGCTGTGTTCACCCAATCGGCTCGAAGTTTTGCGGCGCCAGGGCAACTCGACACGCTGCTGCTGCTCCCGTTCGTACTGTTACTAGTGTTTGTGAGGTTTGTCCATTCTGAGTATTCCAGCAGCTCCATCTCTTTCCACGATTTTGAGGTTGTTGCATCCCATGTGATCAATGCATGGTGATTAGCTCAGCAGCGGCGCGCCCCGCCCCACGTGTGCCATTTCAATATTTTACATCATTCGTTCAATTAGAGACCGCGAAACCCCGCCCACCCTTTACCACCGGATCTCCGACCCGCACAGATTCAGTGGTACTAGGGCAGAGTCCTACCGCTTCGGTGAATCTTTTCGGATCGACGTTCGGCTAGTCCTACTGTAATTGTAGCCTACGTACCTAAGTCGTATAGCTACGTATAGTTTGAAGTGTACAAGACACTCTGTTTAGTCTTAGACCTAGAAGTTTCGAGCAACAAAAGCCAGAGAAACAATCGTGTACAACACAAGACATTTCTCCTGATCATAAGATACTCCAGAGCACGTCCAGACTTACTGAAAAACACAGAAAGAAAAGGGGACTACAAGACAACTTCTGTTCTCGCTCCAGTTCTGTGGAACCGCACACTTCACACCTACCGTACTACTCTCTCAGATCACGGACTAACCGCGACCTGTCCCGTAAGTACATCCAGAAAAACGGACTATTGTACTGGCTTAAGTAGGACTGTGTGTTGCCTCTGAGGCATATGAAATCCTTAGGCAGGGAGTGGGGAAGATACTTCTGTTCGAGAGCGCGTATATACGGTTACGCGAGGAACGCGGATTCGCGGGAAATTCGCTCACATGGCCTCCACGTGTACGTTATACCCGCGCATGTCGCGGGAGAAGGAGAGAGAGGCGGTGTGAAGTTACTTGTCCTTTCTTCCCTTAGCGTGCCTGTCTAATGCCTTTTCAAGATAGGGTGTGCGTTCCGTCCAGCGTGCCCGTGGAAGGCGGCGTCGCGTGCGCAGCAGGCTTACGCAGCACATTCTTTGCTCCTTACGAAATGACACTGACACTAACACATATGGACCGACCACTCATCTCTTGCCTGGCTCCGTGTAATCTCTGTCCAAACATCTGTAACTTTGATCCAAAACCCCACAAAAGCAGCTAATGTGTCTTGTATGGGATACTTTATATCAAACACTTATGTATAAAGGGAGGGTGGGTTTGAAATAAGTAAAGTGGATATTGTGTGTCTTGTTGTGTAGTGAGCCTTGCTGTCAACCTGGCTTCCACACGGAACACTTGTCTATCCCCACGTCACATCGTAGTACACCTGGCGGGGCCACACCCATAGCTCCGCCCACTCTTCGTAACCATGGCGTTCACTCAACACCAGCAAGGCCACAGATACCAGCAGCGCCGAGGAAGGGGAATGAACCCAGAGGCATTGTGAGTTTACGCTCCTCTTCTGCCTCTTCTTTCCCTTCCCGTCCGTCTCCCTTCATCCCCCCTCCTCTCTTCTCTCACCTGTCAAGCCTTCCTCTCTCTCACTTTATTTCTCTTCTCTCATCTCTTTCCTTCCTCTCCCCCCTCCCCTCCCTCCCTCCCTCCCTACTTGCTAAGTGCTACATCTTGCACGAGGTCAATCCGCAACAAATTGCCGTCTATTGTCAAGTCGGTTTCCAGGTTTCTTTTCCTCCCTTTCACACCCCATTCACTACCTCGTAGCACATACACTGTGTGAGGTGTGTGTGTGTATTGTGCCTGAGTGTTAGCAGGGTTTCTTTCAGGGGGGCCCCCTGAGGACATTGGAGGAATTTCCCCCAGACCCCCATAGCTTATACACTCATTTTAGTTGCATTTAGTTGCATTTTACACGAGAATATAATGTGCGTGAAAGTTTTTCCTGTTTGTTCAGAACTGGAACTCCTCCGATAATACCAGTGAGCGCACACCAGATGCCCATTCGGCCGTTTATCCCGATGGTAACTCCTGGCCAGGCAGGGAGGATGCCCCTACTCACTGCCAGTCAGCCGCCCTCTGCCGCACTCCAGGCAATGATGCAACCAGGTCTCCCTCCAACACTGACGCTTCATCCTGGACAGTTCCCGCCGCAAAATTTCCAACTGTCGGGGGGCTACCACCGCGTTCCCCTGAATCAGAATTTCCCCCCGGGGGCTGCCGGGGTTGCGCAAATGTCGATGACTGCACCCCCTCCCTTCTCGGCTGCTGCACTCGGTCAGCCGTCAATAATTGGCGTTGGTGGGAGGGGCCCCCCGCCTATGGGCGGGGCGGGCGGAGTTGGAGTGGGCGGGGGAGGAGGCCCGCCAAAGAAAAAGACGTCGCGAGCGATTAAGATTGTAGACCCCACGACCAACAAGGAGGTTGACCCTTATGCTAGTGGAGATTCGTCTGGTACAGTAGGAGGGGGAAATCAGCCCCTTCGTTCCATGTCTCCCTCGCCAAATGTCCCCCGGGGGCCGGGGATGGACCCCCAAATAGCGGCAGCGTTCCTAAAACAAGTTCACCAGACGATGAGCAACCCGCCCTCTGCACCTAACATGGCTCCGCCCAATGCAATCATATCTGCCCCGCCCCCTCCCCACACCTACACACATAAGGTTCCGGGCATTAGACCTGTGTTTGACGAGCCGACGGCCCAACCAATCCATGCCCCTCTTCCTCAGTCCACCGGTGCGCATGCTCCAAACCCTCTTGCTGCATCGTTCAGTCCAGGCGGCATGCTACCCCCACAAGTTGCGGCCACCGGTCAGTTTACGAGCCATCATCGCCTGCCAGACATGACTCAGCCACCCCAACCGCAATCCTTCGGCGGACCTGGCCTCCTCGCCACACCCGATCCGGCGACCTTTAACCTTGGGGGAACTCCCCGCGTGACACCCAACGGAGTGCCTTCGCTGTCGGCGCAAATGGAAAAGTCGCTACCAGCGCCATCTGGGATTCGACCGGAACAGTTCCCACCTCACCCCCAGTCTTTCACTGGGCATGGGGTGGCTGACATATCGAAAGTGGGTGTGGTCTCGGTGCTATCAGCCGGCGGTAAACCCCACATGGTTGGCAAGCACGGAGTATCTGGCCCTCCCCATCTACAGCGTATTCACCCTCTTCAGGACCAACCTCTTCCCCTCGTCCACAAATCGCCTCAAGAACTGGGGCAACAGCAGGCTGTGGGTGTGGTCGATGCGGGGGTGAAGCCACCGTCTTCCTCCGTGGTAGGTGGACATGGGGAGACACTGGAGTATCCACAGCAAAAACAGCCTCTGTTGCCAACGCCAGGCACTACTAGTCTGCTCCCGGGCGGACCTTCCATTTCTCCATCGCAACCGCCGTCGACACACGAACAGATGAAGACCGCACCCTCTATGATGTCATCCATTGTCCCGGAAACTGGTGAAAGTGCGAAATCGGACGATGTGACTCCACCCGCCTCATTGGTTACCAAGGAGAGTATCATCGTCAAGGAGACAGTGTCTGCAGTAATTCCCGCGGAAAGTTTAGACAAGCCCATGTCCAAGAGCGTTACGCCAGAACCTCTCGCTTCTTCGGTACCCGTGGAAACAGTAACCAATGAAACAGTTGCCGTGGTTACAGAATCTTCCACTGAAACCGTCACCAAGGTAACCGAATCAGTCGAAGAAGAAGTGGACAAAAGTTCGAGAGACGTACTGACAGCATTATCAGAGTCTGCAGTGACGAAAGAACCTTCAGCTGAGGCGGAGGTCGCGGAGGTCACTGAAGAAAAACAAGAAGTAAGACAAGAAGGAGAGGAGGAAAGAGACGGAGAAGAAGCAGTAGATGGTGCAGTGGAAGAGGAAGATGTAGGCCGTGAGAGCGGGGAGAAGGGAGAGGGGGAAGAAGGGGAGGGAGAGGGAGAAGAGGAGGAAGAGGAGAAGGGAGAGGTGCAATATATAGAAACACCGGAAAACCGAGACACAGGCGAAGAGGAGGAGGTGAAGGAAGAGAGAGGGGGAGAGGGGGAGAGGGAAGGAGAGGTGAGCGAAGAGGTCGGGAAGACGGAAGAGGAGGAAGAGGAGGAGATCGAGAAGAGTGATGAGGAGATAGAAGAGGAGAAGGAAGAGGGAGAGCTGGAGGAAGATGAAGAGGAGAAGGAAGAGGGAGAGCTGGAGGAAGATGAAGAGGAGAAGGAAGAGGGAGAGCTGGAGGAAGAGGAAGAGGAGGAGGGAGAGCTGGAGGAAGAGGAAGAGGATTTCATGGCTGTTGCAGACAAAGTAGCTCCGAAAGTGGTAAAACCTGTGGAGGAGTAGCATTACCTACTGCGTGTGTCGTGCAACCGTGTAATTACATAAGTCGACGTAACAAACCAGACTCTGTTTGTTTGTGTGTAGATTACCACTACATAACAGTCGTAACGTCTGCCCTAATATGGTAGAACCTCAAACATGTAGGAAACGCTTTGTACAGAGACGTGGTTTACACTGCTTTTAAATAATGCGCAGGTTTTAACATGTATGTATGTATAAGAACGAACACCTTTAGAGGAAGGTGTTCTTTATTTGGAGTGTCCAGTATAAGCAGTTCCACTGTAGACTGTTTCTAACTCTTCTTTCAGGAGCGCACGACTTTCCTGCCGTTTGAGAAAAAGACGGAAGTCTCGGAAACAAAGCCGGCATCCTCAATGCTTCGACCTCACTCCCAACAGCACCAACGTAGCTCCTCGGACACCGTCGTAGCTCTCAAACCATCTGCCGCCGCAAAGAGAGAACAGAAACCGGTTTCTTCTACGGCGTTGACGTCGTCCGACACCGGGACGAAACACGCCCAGCCCCACCCACCCGTGCGCGAGCCGTCGCCGGGTGCGGCTGGCGGGCGTACCATCTACAACCGGGACTTTCTCCTCAAATTCAAAGAACTCGTTGTTTGTCAGGAACCTCCTCCAAATCTGAAGAATCATGACTGCTTCAGAACCCGGTGAGAGGCTAAATTTAGAAAATGTTACTATAAATGGGCAACTGTAATTACACATTGTTTAGTTCCATCTTTAGTAACAGTTTTAAAATCTCACGAAAAAAATTTTTTTTGAAGGTCTGCAAAATTTTCCCTCCCGTGTAGGCAGGAGATAGCTCGGGACAGGGAGAGGGAGAGGGAGAGAGATCAGCGGGATATGTCGCGAGGGAGCATGCGACAGGACATGATGTACCCGTTTGGTCACGGAGGGGACCGCGACCGCGGGGATCGAGGGGACCGCGACCGCGGGGATCGAGGGGGGCGAGGGGGCCGAGATCGCCGGAACCCTCCCCCGAAAATCATCCGTATCGAGCAGGTGGGTGGCACGTGAAAACTTCACTGCTGCTATTTTTGTGTTGTCTACAAAAGCAATACCCTATTTCTTAGAATTTTGCATACTTTGGCATCAACATGCATACCATGCATATTTGTGATATATACCCGCACAAAGTGGGGTTTGAACGGTTTTGCATTTTTTGCAACTATGCGAGTAAACGAAATGACAAACAAATCATCCCCAATACTTTGACTATAGTTGGAGGATGGAATACCAACACTATCTCGCTGTACCTATAGATCTATTTATCTCGCTTTTTCATGAATATTGCTTAGTTGATTAAATTCTGCTCACTCCATCATTCTCAAGTCTTGTGTATATATACAACTCGTGACTACGTATGTTTACGATAGATATGTGTACCAAAACTGGTTTTTCTCGTCTGGCGACCTACAGAAACCGGTTGAGCTACACAAGGCGGAGCAGAGATGGCTCCCGGCTAAAGCGGTGCTCAAAGACCTCAGCGAAGAGGAGAAAGTGACGGGCGATCTCTACCGCAAGTTTCAGGCCATCTTGAACAAACTGACGCCGCAGAAGTTCCAATCGCTGGCCGAGCAGGCGCTACAACTGACTATTGACACTGAGGAGAGACTCAAGGGGGCCATCGACAAGATTTTCACCAAGGTTCCCACTCGGGGGGTGTAGGGGAAGGGGGGGCTAAAATTTAAAACTCTTTGGAGGGCGTTTTTTTTTTTTTTTTGAGATCCAAGGGCTTACGATTTTTCAGGCATATATACCTTTTTATTTTTTGGAGTCATACAGAGAATTTTGTGAATTTTGTGGTTTGAAATCGTTCACTCTGTTGTTTTTTCTTTCTTTTTTTCCAGGCGCTAGAAGAACCAAGTTTCAGCATTGCGTACGCCAACCTGTGCAAGGTTCTGTCGCCTCTCAAGGTGGAGGTGACCGTGGAAGGAAAGACGAAATTCACGACGTTTCGGCGCGTCCTCCTCACCAAGTGTCAGCAGGAGTTCGAGAAGGACAAGAGGGAGGACGAGGAGAGAGAAGAGATGCTGACAGCCATTGAGAAGGCAGAGACTGTAAGTGTACCAGTGAATTTTAAGGGGGACATTTGTTGGTAAAGGAACGCATGCTTGAACAAAAATGCTGTGGTATGGGGCATGTGTGTGAGAAAACAATTAGGTAACAGAAATCCGATTTTTGATGGAACGAAACATCTGACCAATTCCTACGTACCTCTCTCTCCCTCCGCCCCTCCCTCTCTCTCTCTCTCTCTCTGCCTCTCTCTCTCTCTCTCTCTCTGTATGGTTGTGGTTCAGGAGGAGAAGAAGAAGGAACTGACGGTGGAGTTGAAGGTTATGGAGACAAGGGCAAGGAAACGATCTCTCGGAAATATCCGGTTCATCGGAGAGCTCTTCAAACTGAAGGTGAGTTCTGAATTCTGTCAACTTCAGTTGAACCACTCTAATAATCCGGACACCAATGGGACGGAAGAAAGTGTACGTATTAGAGAAGTCAGGGGTTAAATTGCATGCAAGAACTGTTCTTTGGGAAAGAAAGTGTGTCCTTATCAGTGAGGTGTCCTCATTTCAGCGGGGTTCCACTGTATATACCATTGCCTCTGTACCTCCCTCCCATTCTCCTCCCGTCTACCTGTTTTTCCAGATGTTGTCAGAGACGATAATGCACGAGTGTATGATACGACTGTTGAAGAGTTCGTCTGACGAGGAATCTCTGGAATGTTTCGCTGGACTCATCACCACCACCGGCCGAGATCTGGACATCCCTGAAGCCAAGGTTAGCCCCGCCTCCCTCTCCTCCTCTCTGATCTTCTTAATGTGTATCCGACTGTGTACCAATTCACCGTTGTTGCACATTGGGTTACCCACTTAAGCTCTCTCGTTTTTTGCCCCTCTCTGTGACTTTGCTGCAGACTCGAATCGACGGCTACTTCTCTAGGATCCACCAAATCATTGCAAAGGGAAAGATCTCGGCCAGGATTCGGTTCATGCTTCAAGACGTCATCGAGTTGCGCAAAAACAAGTGGGTGCCTCGCAGTAGCCAGACCACCAGCCTCAAGACCATTGACCAGGTACTGTATGTACTACTATACTATACAGATTCAGTCTGTCAACGGTTTATTGAAAATTACTTGTATATTGTGCACGTGTATCAAATCTCAATAAGGCCACAAGGCCAAAAAGCGGCAAAACAATGACACGTTTCCCAAAGCACAAAAAGAGGTGCCCCTGGGATTAATATCCTTATTCTTTACCATTCTATTCCCTCTTCCCTCCTTCTCCCCTCAGATTCACGCAGAGGCAAAGGCCGAGGAGCAACGGACGCAGCAGATGGTGGCCCAGCATCAGATCACCAGTCATTTCAAGCCTCCGATGCGGGGAGACGACAGGCGAGGGCGACGAGACAAGGCAAGCCAGCCGGCTCCCTGTCTCTCTACATGGAAACACGTGTTCTCTTGTGCAGCTTGTAGTTTGGCATGTGAACCGGATACAAGTGATTGTGTAATTATGTAACCACGTGTACGACATTGTGTAGGTGCTGTGGGTGTGGGTGTACATACCGATGTAGATTGTGAGGTGTGATAGTGTAGTGAGCAAAAATTGGAAAATTACTGGGGGATTCTTTTTTTTTTATCGTGTGGTTGCAAACAGGGAGCTGGTGATGACTGGCAGAAGGTCGGGGACGATAAACGAGGAGGGAGAAGGGACGAGAAACCGACCAAAGTGGACCCCAAGAGAATCACAAGTCTCCTGCGGAGGGAGAGAGGAGACAGATCAAAAGACGTGAGTCCTCCATTGCTCTCTCTCTCTCTCTTCCCTGAAATGGAGGGCACCTCTCCTCGCAGGCTCCACTGGGACCCCAGGGAGGGATGCTGCGTCCGGGCTGGCCTATGAAGGGTGCTCCGTCTGCCCAGGACTCTGGCTCCGGCAGCGGTAGTGGGTCGGGTATCGGCAGCAGTGGTGGCGGCGGGTCGGGTGCCAAGGGAGAGAAGTCTGCAAAACCTCTGAGGTGTGTGTGTGTGTGTGTGTGCGTAGGAGTTAAACTTGCTGTTCTCACTCTAAAATTTTGGGTTTGACAATTTTTTGCAAGAACTCCTGTACCGCATGAGCAGTTATATGTTTTATGCGTGATCGATTGTGTGCCATTTTAGTATTTTTCCACCGTTCTAATATTTCCCTCACGAGAGGAGGTTTTGGTCGTAAAGAAACAGTGAGTGGATCGTGTTGTACATATGCCACATACTGCAGGTCCAGTTCAGGAGGTGGTCAGAAGAGGGGAGAGAGGGGGGAGAGGGAGAAGGGAATGGGTGGAGGCAGGGGTCCAGCGGCAAAGAGGGGCTCGACACGAGAGATGAGCAAAGAGAGAGAGGCTGCCATTCGGGTAAGTAAGAGGAATTCTTTTTGAGGCATGGGAAACATATGTAGTTACTAAGAATGGGACAGAATAAAGTGTCAATGTTAGTGAGGTGTCCTTATTTCAGCGGTTACAAGAACTAGGGAAAGAAAAGTGTCTTTATTACAGTTCAAGGGTGTCCATAGAGTTGTGTTGCACTGTGTCTGTATTGTGTACAACTCTCGCAGGCGGTCAAGAGCCAGACGTCTACCGAGGCAAAGCCACACCCACAACCTCCCGTATCCAAGGCAACACCTCCTCCACCCTCCACGTCCAATCCTCCGGTGGACGAGGATGTCATATGTCGCAAGACCAACACAATTGTCTGTGAATTGGCAGAGAACAAGGATTTCAAGGTTTCTTATATATACATACATACATACATGCAAGACTCGGGAATAGTAGTTTACAGTTTTCAGTATTAAGGGGAATGTGGCGGTATGTAATGGCTAATTTTAGAAACTGTTGCTATTATTATTCTTAAACTGGGCTCTATTGTTTAGTTTTATCTTTAGTAACATTTCTAAATTTAGCCCTTATGTACTGGCACTTAAACTTTCAGCCAATTACAACATGTAAGCACGACCATCTTCCCCCCTCCCACCCCTCCCAGGAAGCCATAGAGTGTGTCAAGGAGATGAAGTGTCCAGAACAGCTGCACGTCTTTGTGCGAGAGCTGATCAACGTGATGATGGAGAAAAACGACGCCCATCGACTCTTGGCGAGTCAGCTGCTGCGGGATCTCCTCAAGGACGGAGAACTCACCAGGGACAAGTTCAGAGATGGGTAAAGGAGAACACGTGCAACTTTGAAATCTCCACGCAAATTTCACCCTTTTCAGGCCAATTGTGTATTGTGCTATTGCTTCAACATTCTCCAGTAAATCATCATCCTAGTATTCCTGTAAACTCTCAGTATTCTGTAGTAAATTATCCTAGTATACTCCCAGTATTCTGTAGTAAATCCTAGTATGCCTGTATACTCTCAGTATTCTGTAGCAAATTATCCTAGTATACTCCCAGTATTCTGTAGTAAATCATCCTAGTATGCCTGTATACTCTCAGTATTCTCTAGTAAATCCCCCTTGCCTGCAGTCTGATGGAGATTCTGGAGTATGCGGAGGACATTGAGATAGACATCCCGAGATTCTGGGACAACATGGCTCAGCTGCTAACCCACCCCGTGTCTGACCCCTCCCTCATTCCTCTCTCCCTCGTTACCTCCCTCATTCCTGCCCCTCTCGTTAAGAAGGGGAAAGTCGGCGTCCTGGCTACCAAGGTTGGGTTGCATCTCAGTATTCTAGAGTAAAATAGAGTATTCTTAGTATACTTCTCAGTAATCTCTAGTAAACTCTTTCAAGTGTATTGTATACTTCTCAGTAATCTCTAGTAAGCTCTTTCAAGTGTATTGTATACTTCTCAGTAATCTCTAGTAAATCTGTAATGTGCATTCTTGCTCGTTTAGAATTCCCCTCTGGTTGCCTAGGTGATGAAGCAGCTGACAGCAGGGGTGTGTGCTGAGTCAGCAGTCGTGGCGCTATGGCAAGGAATGAGGTGGGAGGAGCTAGGGGTCAAATACGACGACCTCCGAGAGCTTGTTGCTATGGAGGTAATCAGCTTTATTTTGTGACTGGAAATTTTAGTGTTGAATCACATTCTAATCAGCTTTTAATGTAGTTTCAAATGTAAACAAAAATGGGATTTTTCCATGATTTGTGACTTGACAACAAAACCGGTCTTGACCAACCTGTTTTTCTGGTTTTAGCAACTGGGATTCCTGCTGGAGAAGGAGGCGTCGTCAAGTAGCCAGTCTTCGTCAGTCCTCAACGAACTGATATCTCGATTTAGAGCCAGTGACACCACAAATGATGAGATCTTTGTATGGTTAGAGGTGAGTCATGTGACTAGTCATGTGATCTGGGAGTTTTCAGTGTTCAGCCGTGGGGCGTGAATGTTGTGCATTTAGTCATCATCTGGAAGTGTGTCATGTGATCAGTCTTGTGATCTCTATGTAGGAGCACTGTGGGTCTGAGTCCAGAACGACAGGATTCATAAGAATGTTGAGCACTGCTCTGCTGCAGGCATTCGTCACTGGTGAGTCTGTAATCTCTCAGTAAACTCCTTGTAAACTCATGAACCATAGTATACAGTTTTCAGTAAACTTCCAGGATTCTCTATACTCGGTTTGAGAGATTCTCTTGTAAACTGTCTGTGTTTTCCAGTAAATGCTCAGGATTCTCTAGTAAACTGTCTGTAATTTGTCTGAACAGGTTGTGGGAGAGGAGCAAAGTTTGCGGCGGAGGACTTTCAGAGAAGATCGGTCATCCTCAAGAAATTTGCAGACAGCCACAGAGAACTACACATTCACATTCTATATGCAATACAGAGTGGTGTGCATCAATTGGAACACCCACCAGGTATATAAAATGGGTGGCCTGTTTCTGTGTGTGGAGGGAAGGACAGGCCAACCAACCATAGCTGGAGAGTGCAGTGCAAATAACCTTAGGAGTTATGGAAATTAAGTGGCCTCTTTCAAAAAATGGGGAAGGGGGAAGAACAGCCCTAACAGTCATCATGCCTTGATAATAGCTGGAAAGTGTAATCATAACATTCATTTTCTTTCTCTCTCTCGTCTGATTTCGCCTCCCCTCTCCTCCTCCCCCTCTCAGAGCTGTTGGGAAGAATATTCCACATTCTCTACGAAGATCTAGAGATAATCGACGAGGCTACATTCCTGGAGTGGCGAGAAAACAAGGCGGAGCCTATCGGCAAGGGCAACGCAGTTCTCTCGCTCACTGACTTTTTCCTGTGGCTCGAGAGTGCCAATCAGGAGAGCGATACTGAACCATGATTGGTCGGTTCGTTCGGTTGCTAGGGGAGATTTAGTTGAGGTATCATCAATCGAAAGTCATGTGATGACTTATTGTTCATTGTTGGTGGGTGTGGCTTTGCTGTAATTTATTTGTGTATACATATTATGTGTTAGTGCACTTCAAAATCATGTGATTGATCAATTTGTGAGTATTATATAACCGACATGGTGATGAAGTAGTGATGTAATGTGATTAAAAAGTGGAGCTGTACGTGAACTCTGTTCTCCCCTTGGTGATGCTGTCGCTACGGAGACTGGTAGAGGTCATGAGGTCAACTGTGTGACGAGCTCTCTGGATGACGGACACATCTTCTAGCTCTGAGAATGGAAGGTCGATCTGAAAGGAGGAGGAGGATGTGCATGGGAGAGAGAAAGCTGCACATAAATATATGGATGATGACATACAGCAGACATTAATTTAGAAGCTGAGGGATCGTATTATGAAGGGCTGAGAACCAGAGCGTAAACCACAAAGGGCCAATTCCCTTGACATGAAACACCATTTTATATGTGTTTGGAAGGAGACAATCTTGCAAAATCCCACTTTTAAGTATACCCTATATACCCATACTTGGGATATACCTGGCTAATTGTCCCTAAAGAGTGGGTGAAGTGATCATTCATGTTAATTATAGCTATTGTCCTTACTGAGCTAGTACTTATATAAGTGTACCTGAAACTCATCTTTCCACAATTCTGCAAGAGCCGTCTCAAACTTCCCCAGTTCAAACTCGGAGCTGAAACAGAGAAGCCACACCCCTTTACAGAGTTCGCCATCATCATACGACTGAGTAGGGAGTGAGAGAGAGAGAGTGTGTGAGAGAGAACTCGGGTTTATTACCCTCGGCGCGCATGCGCAGCGAGGGTACTGTAGGGTTTGTCTGTCTAGAGCTGTGTCTGTTACTCTCAATCTCACTTCTCGGGTGTCTGTTCGTCCCAGAAATGATACCATCTACCCAACGGGCGACGAGGGTCAGAATATATGTGGGGTTTTCTCTGAAAATGATCCGTTGCAGAGTTAGAGCTAGAGCGCCTTCCAGCATTGTATGGCTAATGCTGGTAGTCGAGTCGCCATTTTATCGCTGGCGGATAATGCGCATGCGCTTATATTTAGCACAGGCTAGGCACCTCAGCTCGACCGGGTCCGCTTGCTCTGTCTATCTTGAAGGCACAAAAAGTCACAACGAATGGCGTGTATCGACTCTCGCGTGCTATCTACTACTGTAGCTGGCCCGTGTCAGACTCTCTGCGAAGCTACCTTGCGAGGTGCACTTCTAGTGCTTTTCTATTTACACATGTTCCCATTCAAGTCACAACACGTGATGTGGTGGACCAACCCTCTGGACATGTCCTCTTGCAGAGATGTGGACCTGCACAGTGGCAATTTCTCCTCTCTCTTTTCTCCTCTCTTATCTCCCTCTCTCTCCTCTCTCTCTTCTCTTCTCTCTCCTTCTCATTGCTATATACATCATGTACACTCACCTTCTCCTTGGTCAGTAGAACGGTACACATAGGATTTTTGCATTGTCCGAAGATTGCACCTAAGCAAGCAAAGCACATGCAACAAAATTAACAAATTGTTTCTTCCATGCATGTAAATACACTTCTTTGCTCAGCGGCGATTCGGTGCTCTTTACCCTAGCATTCAATCCAGTCAAACCATGGTTCAGACAAGAAGCATCATTTTTCAGTTACTGGTATATAATCATGTAACATACACACTTGTATGTAGTGTGTCTTTTTTGCTGAACTGTTGTGAAATCGTCTCACCTGGAGGACAGCCTCGCATAGCGCATCTGCCACTGAGTCAATTCCTCCTCCATCCGTTGCCAGTAGCAACGGCTGGAGCGGCCAGCGACAGGGAGAGGACAAACTGCCGACTATCTCCCGTGAAACGACCCTCGTGACCCCTCACATCCCGGCCAGGGAGATAATGTGGCCTTGGACAACTTGTCGCGTCCTGAGAGAGAACCAAAGAACCGGTACTTACAGCTGTGTATAGTAAAACTGCTGCAAAGACGCTAGCACTGGATACAACTCAAACATCTCCACGGCATATTGTCGCATAATCTTCGTTGCAGTTTACCAAACTGCCGTTATCAAGCTCACCAATGAAACGTGCCAATCTCTTGAAAGTAGTTCTGGCCACCCGCATAAGCTCGTGATCAGAAGAGCCCGGCTGAGGGGAAGCGGTCTTATGAAAAATTTGAAAAACTTATAAAAAGGGGCATTCCAAGCTCAGTTTGCGTTGGTATATTTTTAAACATGGGTGGTTTTGGCGCCCCCAAAATTTTACCCTTATTTTACGGGGGGGGGACATAAATACCGTTGTTACGAGTACGACGATTTTTGTTACGTTTGGCGTTCCATACACCGACACAAACAAAAAAATTTGCGCATGCGCAGATTTTTCCAACAGGCGCACTTTTGTAAAATGGCGACAGAAGAAGGGGTGGACAAGGAGCTTGCAGCCATCATTTCTGAGGTAATATTGATGAGCTGTTCTAATGCAGAGAAGGGTCCAGCTTCCTTGAAAAAATAGTGCTTAGATTGTCCTGACGTTTCTTAGATCTTACTGAATCTGCAACTTTCTGCAGTACCTAACTAGCAGGGGCTACCTCCAGACGGTGGCCGCATTCCAGACCGAGTCTCGTCGCAGACCCAAGCGAGCCCCGCCCACCCAGACCACTGCACTCCAGGTATATACATTACAGCAGTGTACTCAAATCTGATTGGTCAACTGCGGAAGGGAGCTAGAGCAACTTCTATTGGCCTGCAGCGTGATTTTATTGTCGCTTTTGAATGTGGCAAGAGAGAGACTTTCTTCAAACTCTGGAACGGGAATGTGCCACAGGAAACGCTGGAACGAGACCAGACCTGTCAGAACCTGGAGTTCAATCTCAGTGTCTACTTTGCCATCTACCCAATTAGGACAGGGGTGAACCCTTCTCACCGTCTCTCCCTTTCTCATTCTTTCTTTTCATCTCTCGCCCTCACGGTTCCATATTATCTCGCTCTGAAATTTACTCTATCTTGCCAACTTTAGTGTTTTCATCATGCTCCAAACTTTCATATTCTCCCTCCATTTTGCATCGAAACCTCTTCTTCTTTCCACCTGTCTCACACCAACATTTTGTATCTTTCCCTCCCTCTCTCCCCTCTCTCTCCTCAAGACGGGAGACAGAACGCGCTCCCTCCATCAGTTCACTGGCTACCTCTCCACACGTAGCACAGTTCTCTCTAAGAATCCCGAGCTGTCTGCATACTATGCTCTTCCCTACGTCCCTGATCCCACATCTCACCCTTCTTTCAAGAAACTCTTCACCGTAAGTGTATTGCAAACAACTTTGATAAGTACTAATTTTTGTGAAATTTTTTTGCAACATTATTTTAACTTGGCAAACACTATTTGTCATTTATTTGCAACGTGGAAAAGAGTATATACCATCATTCTAAACTGGGTTTACAAGCGCAGTAGTATACCTAATACACAGAATTTTCCCAATTTTTCATGTTGCACTAAACTATACCTGCAGGAGTCGTGGAGTTCAGATCTGAAATCTCGTCTCCTGCATTTCCTGAAGCTTTCTCTGAAAGGAGCCTCCCAGCAGCCGGTGCTCCTCTCCCTCTACCTCACCGTATCCTCCCCACATGTCACATGATAGTCATGTGACTCCCTGCATTGATCACGTGACCATTTCCTGAACTGAGACTCCGTATATAGAACAAAGTGTCCCCCACATCAGAAGGCAGTGCACAAGGTATTACGTATGTACAAAACTGCTCGTAAAAATTTTTTATAGTTTGCCGCAAAAATTAGCCGCATATGTGTTTAATTTCTATGAAATTATGTTTGTTTTTTTTGTTTTTATTGAAGTATTGATGACGTCAACTTTTTTGTTGGTCCCAGAGGTTGTGCTGTTGAGAGAACAGTTAGCAGATAGCCGGAGACACTATTCTGAACGGCTCGCCGAAATACAGGTGTTGTGTCCTGATAAGAGACGCGTTGTCCCGATTGAGAATGTGTGTCCCGATTAATTTTCAGGACAGCTATCACACCTTGGTCGGGATTGCGCTGGAGCTGCTCGATACACTAGAGTCTGCAATAGCAGGACGACAGGTACTAAACAGTCAGCGGAGATGTTAAAGTGTGTCCTGAAACGTTGTCCTATAGGTCACTCCAGAGAGCATTCAGAACATCTGTAGTCGGCTGTTCGGAAGTTCTCTGCCAGATGCTGTAGCCTCTGGGCGACATCAGGCCTGGAACTGCCACCTCCATCCTGCGACAGTCTGTCATTTCCATGAGAGACAAGTACACTCATTTTCTTTCCTCTACCCACTCTCCTTCCTCTCTCCCTTTTCTTCCCGCTCAGTATACAGGCTCCAGTCAGTCTCCACACCTCGACCCCCATCCCCTCCCCCCTCCCCCTCCCTCCCCGCCCTCCCCGGACTCACCAGACAACACCCTGACTCCGCCCATCCTCACCGAGCAGACCTTGTCAAAAGCCACACCCCCTCCTCATCGACAGCTAGATTTCCACCGACTAAAAAGCACGCTGCAGTCCAGCAATGATAGAAAGAAGGCACTACTGCTGCAGGCTTTAAGATGGGTTAGAGACTAATAACTTTCTGATCTTTTCTTTTCCGAAAAATAATATCGCACTCGAGCAAGTTGTGTGTGTTAACCGTGTGGGGACCGTGGGGATCGAGGGGGGCGAGGGGGCCGAGATCGCCGGAACCCTCCCCCGAAAATTATCCGTATTGAGCAGGTGGGTGGCACGTGAAAACTTCACTGCTGCAATTTTTGTGTTGTCCTTACAAAAGCCTATTTCTTAGAATTTTGCATACTTTGGCATCAACATGCATACCATGCATATTTGTGATACTGTATATACAATTTTCAGCTTATACCCCGCACAAAGTGGGGTTTGAACGGTTTTGCATTTTTTAGTATGCGAGTAAACGAAATGACAAACAAATCGTCCCCAATACTTTGACCATAGTTGGAGGGTGGAATAGCAACACTATCTCGCTGTACCTATACACCTATTTACCTCGCTTTTTCATGAACATTGCTGAGTTGATAAAATTCCACTCACTCCATCATTCTCAAGTCTTGTATAATTATGTATACAACTCGTGACTACGTATGTTTACGATAAATATGTGTACCCATAACTGGTTTTTCTCGTCTGGCGACCTACAGAAACCGGTTGAGCTACACAAGGCGGAGCAGCGATGGCTCCCGGCCAAAGCGGTGCTCAAAGACCTCAGTGAAGAGGAGAAAGTGACGGCCGATCTCTACCGCAAGTTTCAGGCCATCTTGAACAAACTGACGCCGCAGAAGTTCCAATCGCTGGCCGAGCAGGCGCTACAACTGACTATTGACACTGAGGAGAGACTCAAGGGGGTCATTGACAAGATTTTCACCAAGGTTCCCACTCGGGGGGTGTAGGGGAAGGGGGAGCTAAAATTTAAGGGCGTGTTTTTTTGAGATCCAAGTGCTTACAATTTTTTCAGGCATATATACCTTGTTTATTTTTTGGAGTCATACAGAGAAATTTGTGAATTTTGTGATATAGGTGTTTGAAATCTTTTGCTGTTTTTTTGGTTTTTTAACCCTCGGCGCGCATGCACAGCGAGGGTTACAGTTGTCGTTCTGTCTGTCTGTCTGTCTGTCCGTCTGTCCGCGCGAGTTCTAGCACTACAGGCTACGAGGCGGCCAATGAGTGGCACCACGGTTGTGAACGACGAGAAGGGAGATGTGATACTTACGTGTCGATTTTCCCGAAACAACTCACTGCGTTCGCAAGTGCTATCAAGAAGAGAGGGATCCCCTTTTGTTCACGCGCACTCTAGACCTTGTTTATTTTAGGAAGGCATAGAGTAATTTGTGAATTTTGTGATATCCAGGTGTTTGAATCTTTTTCTGGTGTTTTTTTGGTTTTGTAACACCCACACCCATTCGGCTGGCGCTATCTGGCACAGCGAGGGTTACAGTAGTCGTCTGTCTGTGCGGTACTGTCTGTCCGTCTGTACGCGCGTGACAGGAGCGAGAGGAGTTCTAGCATGAGTTGAAGTAGTTTGAGTCTAGCACTTACAGGCTAGTGGACGGCGGCAATGACGTGGCACCAACGGGTTGTGAACGACGAGGAGATGATAGTAACGTGTCGATTTTCCCGAACAACCAATGCGTTCCAACGTGCTTACAATTTTCTCATGGCATATATCACCGTGTTAGTTTGTTTGAAGTCAGACAGAGAAATTTGTGAATTTTGTGATATAGGTGTTTGAAATCTTTTGCTGTTTTTTTGGTTTTTTAACCCTCGGCGCGCATGCACAGCGAGGGTTACAGTAGTCGTTCTGTCTGTCTGTCTGTCTGTCCGTCTGTCCGCGCGAGTTCTAGCACTACAGGCTACGAGGCGGCCAATGAGTGGCACCAACGGGTTGTGAACGACGAGAAGATTGATATTAACGTGTCGATTTTCCCGAAACAACTGCGTTCCAGAGATATGGCGTGAAAACAAGCGAAGAAGCCAACGCGCGGTCGATGGCGCACGCGCCCTCTCCTGCAGGCTAGCTATAGCACGCATGCGTCATGTCAATTAATCGCCGGAGCATGCGCTTGGTTGTATATACGATCCACTCAGTTTTGATCTCTGTTCCCTATGGATAAACGATAAACATGCTGAGCAATGTATGTTCGCAATGTAGCATAATAGTTCGGGTGACGAGCAGTTTGTGGTTGCGGCCTTGCCTTCCCATATATAAAACGTCTGGCGAGAGCATTGAAACACAGAAGAGCAGATAGATTGAATAAAGCAAATATGAGAGCCTCTGAAACACCTGAGCTATTGCTCTAACCGCTAATGCAACTATCTACCCTGTGTTACGGTGAGACTCGTGTTACTGGCTCCGTCGATGACGCACGGCCCAGCATACAGCGATGCTACAACTCGCTAGTTTACTGCCGAGGGTTTGCACTTTAGTGCTTTTCATTTTTCAGGCGCTAGAAGAACCGAGT